ATGCAGTGTATGGCGTAGGATAGTGCAGTGTATGATAAAGGATAGTATAGTGTAAGGTATAGGTTAGTACAGTGTATGATATAGGATAGTGTAGTGTTAGGTGTAGGGTAATGCAGTGTACGGTGAAGTAGAGTATAGTGTAAGGTATAGGTTAGTACAGTGTATGATATAGGATAGTGTAGTGTTAGGTGTAGGGTAATGCAGTGTATTGTAAAGAATAGTGTAGTGTTCGGTGTAGGGTAATGCAGTGTATGGTATAGGATAGTATAGTGTAAAGTGTAGGGTAATGCAGTGTATGATGTAGGATAGCGCAGTGTAAGGTATAGGGTAATGCAGTGTATGGTATAGGATAGTGATTCTGCAAAAAATTCTGCAAGAAAAAAAGCAAATTCTGCAAGGAGAAAATCGAAATTCTGCACAAATTTTCAAAAAAAGTCCAAATTCTGCAATCTTTTAAAACAATGAAAACGGAAACAGAAGTCAGCTACTTTCTAGGTAAGAACTGCGCGTCATTAGCGAACTCGCTTTAGCGAATTTAAACGTGATAGAATGTTGAATTTCACGGAGAAATCGTCCTTGTACTCAATAATGATTGATTGTTGGACATAAACAGACACTCTTCAAATACCCCGCAAAGGTAGGAGATCGTAAAATATGTAATTTCTGGAAATTCTGGTAATTCCGCGGGATTTTCATGAAAATCAGGGATTCTGCAAAAAATTGAAGTTTTGTCAAATTCCGTCCACGCCGCGGAATTACGGAATACTAGTATCTATGATAGTAGTGTAAGGTATAGGTTAGTGCAATGTATGGTATAGGGAAGTATAGTGTAGGGTATAGGTTAGTGCAGTGTATGATATAGGATAGTGTAGTGTTAGGTGTAGGGTAATGCAGTGTATTGTATAGAATAGTGTAGTGTTCGGTGTAGTAGGGTAATGTAGTGTATGGTATAGGATAGTGTAGTGTAAGGTGTAGAGTAATGCCATGTATAGGATAGTAATGTAAGGTATAGGTTAGTGCAGTGTATGTTATAGGTTAGTGCAGTGTTTAGAAAAGTATAGTGTAAGGTATAGGTTAGTGTAGTGTATGGTGTAGTGTAAGGTATAGGATAGTACAGTTTACAGTGTAGGATAGTGCAATGTAGGGCTGTGCCGGAATGGGTTTGAGCTTTTCTGAATCAGAACTTTGTCTCGTGGAATCAGAAGTTTTGAAACCTCCTTTGGAACACAAACGGAAATGATCAAAAAAGAAATGAACCTGCTTAAGTTGATATGACAATGTTTTGGCATAATTTACATATAGTGTCTTATCTTTGTTTTGATTTTGAAGTGGAACAAAATTTGTGCTTACAAAACTATCAACCGTTTGCCCCATAACCTCATGATTTGGGTTGGGTTGGCCGGCCATTTACACTTTAGTGAAAATCTAGATGGCAAACAAAATATATATGAAATGTACACACAGCGGTACTCGTGGAAAATCTGTCATAGAAGACTGCTCAAATCTGCCCTCAATCCAGTTATCTTAGTACACCCTAGCAGTTAAAAATAGAATTATAAGAAGTTATATTTTTTAAACGTCATAATAATTTATTTTATTTTTTTTATTTTATTTGTGAGTGATTTCGCCCCGTGCAATATCAAACAAAAACAAAACTTTTATATTGGATGCAGTTTAAAAAACATTACTGTCGAAACACTGAACATATACATATATATATATATAGTGTATTAACGAATCAAAGCCATTAGTAGGTAATGTTCCAATCTTTGTTCTGAAACCCTCCAGAACATGATATCAAAGTTCCGATACTGGTATTTTATGCAAAAGATCATGATTCGGACTGATTTTGGTCAAATGGCACTAGTGCGATGTAAGGTGTAGGATAATAGTGTAAGGTGAGGATAGTGCAGTATAAGGTGTAAGATAACAATGTAAGGTGTAGGATAGTGCAGTATAAGGTGTTAGATGACAATGTAAGGTGTAGGACAGTGCACTGTAACTTGTAGGAATTAGCACTGTAAGGGTTTAGGATAGTGTAACTAATGCATAGGATCGGATTATAGTGTAGTATTGTATTGTTTAAGGTAATACAATTTGCAAAATGTAGAATAAGCACAGAAGCCTGAATTATCTATCTTTGTGGCAAGTTTTTATTTTGCATTATAGTAACCTTGAATTTCTAGAAGTGCCACATTAGGAACATTTTGAAATTTTCCCTCGGAAAAAAATTCATATTCCATCCCTCCCATTAAATAACCTCTATTTATCCCATACTTAATAGTGTTATAGGTAAATAACATGCGGGAATAGATATCTGAGGTTAGCGGGTGCTATATATATCTCCCGCTGAGGTAAGCGGGAGATATATATATCACCCGCTCATCAGCAATCCCAGGGAATTTCTTTCGGTGCTTTTTTTGAATTCCCGGGATATACTTTGGCTCTATTTGATAAATATAAATTTTATACTGTTGAGTTTTAAAAAACTAAAATTGTCGAGGACTTTAAGTTGAGATAAAATATTCATGTTTTGATTGTAATTATCGATTGAATTACTACATTTGGGTTCCCTAACATTCAATGCATATTTAGTTCTCATAATCTATTAAGTATAGGATAAATCAGTTATTAAATGCTCAATTTTTGATACAGGGTATATCCCTCGGTAAATACAATGCATCACCCTCTGTCCCTACGGTCCCTCGGGAAGATATATTGTATTTCCCTCAGATATAACCTGTATCAAAAACTTCCCATAAAATAACTTCATTTATCCCATACTTGGACGTGTTACAGGTACAGTAAAACTTGTGTATAGTGAACATTTTTTTGCCAAGAAAAAACGTTCACTGTAGGAAGGTGTTCACTAGAGAGAGGGTAATTTATACAGAAGTCAGTGGACTATGTGCGTAGGAAGGGTGTCCACTAGGGACAGGTGTTCACTAGAGAGAGGTGTTCACTAAGACAGGTTTTACTGTACATAAAACCAGTTTGTAAAAACTTATATTTTCATCAGCGGGCAGATATAGCTTTACGTTCCGCTCCGAGCGGGCAGATATAGTTTATCTGCCTGCGACTTCATAATCGCTGTTCCCATATTGGTTCGTTTTTGTAACGGTCGCATACTGTAAACGACAATGGAGAAAAACGCAGACAATCACGATCTGTTTGATGCTATAAAGAAGGGAAGGAGTAGTATGCCCCGTTAATATCAAAAATCCGGCTACTGACAAGAATTCAAAACTAGACATGAATATTTTAAAATAATTCAACGGTTGGTTGCAAAGTTTCTGAACTGTGGCCAATTGGAAAATGTGATTGGTATGGGATGAACAGATCATCCTATAGTCGGTTCAGTATATTTTGATTATCCCTTGGCCAATATAATATATCTACCCTCGGGACCTATGGCCCTTGGGCAGATATATTATATTGGCCTCGGGATAATCCCAATATCCTGAACCTCATATAGGATAATCTCTATATATACTATATTGTGAGGCGTATAATGTTGCAGTATATGATATTTGACAGTTCAGTGTAACATATACTATACAGTGTTCTCCCCAAAAAATTGCACCCAGAAAATTTTCAACTGGGTGCAATTTTTCAAGTCTGAAAAAATCGCCAGGTGGCTGCTTACTTCACTTAACTCATTTTTTCAAATCAGAAGTTGAAGTGCAGGGTGCCAAACGGGGGCCTTTGGTTGCAAGAAGGGGGTCCCCCGGTAAAAGTGACATGGAGTGATCACTGCTAGGATAGTTAAGTGTAAGGCTTATGATATTCAGGGCCCTCATTAATGGCATGCCTATATTATAAGGGACATAAAAAAATTGGTGGAACACAAATTTAAAATAAAATTCTGTTTTTGGGACGTTGAGTCAAAATTTTGGCAGTCTTTCAATAATTTTTGAGTTTTAATGTTTTGATGTATATGTAAAGAGGAAAATACATGTATTTGAGTTTTACAACTTTGTCTTGTGTAAAAAAGAATAAGAATACTGAAAAGTGGGCAAAAAATGAGGGTCGATAATTTCTGAGGTTAAAGTTAAGTTGGTGACGGTGTTACATATCACTTGAAAATTAAGACAGGGAAACTGGCTAAGTTACATATGAGAAATGAAAGTACTAGATCCTGAACATTTTCAGTTTGAAGTTTACACATTTCTATGTAGATTAGGGCTCTCGCCAGGCTTTTAGACTGTGGCGCAGCACCACACTCTATTTAGCTCCCTCTACACCCTATTGGCAAATAATGACTGTTTCCACAGTCTAAACTTGACTGAATATAAATAATAGCATGTAAAAAGGATAAAACATAACATAAATATGATTTATCACGATTGAACGGTTATTCTGAAGATGTTAGCACCACACCCTAAATATTTCCTGGTGAGAGCCCTGTAGATCCATGTTAATTATCCCAATGTTCGTTAAGGGTATAAGTGAAGCCCTCTGTCCATCAGTCTATTAGTCAGTCTAGTTATCTGTCCGGAGCATAACTTAAATACTAGTTGATCAATTTTCTTCATATTTAGGGGAAGGATGTTTATTGGTGAATAAAACTTATAAAACTTATTATTTATTGTTAATTAAAAAGTTCTATTAGCACATGATGAAATCATTGAGTGATCCTACATCACATTACCATAAAAAATTGAGAGTATATCTTATTTTATTTTCTTCACAGTTTTTCCTAGGGAAATGTAGTAAGATATTAATTACCCAAAATCACATAGAATAGGCTATAGTTTTGGCAGTTTGAGTTTGGTGTTCTGCAGTTGTTGTCTGTAATATATGGCAGGTGGTGACATTTTGCATGTTATTGCCTTGCCACTCAAACTCCAAAAAGGCTCATAAAAGCCACATTTGAGAATGTTAAGATATTACAAGCATCAAAATTGTAAAATGATCTATCATAGTCATTTAATTTTAAATTCAGAGTAAATCAATGTATTGTGATTTCTTCTCATCACCATATCTTCTTGTGTTTCCAGGCTCCAATAGACCCCCAGGCATTGCTGAAAGCTCTGGCCCCCCTCCTGGGCAAAACAGGGGCAGTTAAAGGGGAGGCTGAAGCCAAGAGAATCACTGGGCTTATGAAAGATGCATCTAAGCTTGTAAGCAGATGTGTATACTTGCAGATATTTAAAACTACAACAGATACCACTGTCTTACAGACGTAAGTTCTTACTTTATTAGAAAATATACATACGTAAATCATTAACAATATTTCTATTTTCTTGTATGTGTTTGTATTTCTTTTATTACTGTATCATTTGCCCTTTCTCATTGAAATAACTGAATTTTATCTACTGTCAATTGGAAGAGCTGGTTGCCACTTGTGCTATAGTATAATATATCATGCTGAGTATTGTGCAGCCGCATATCTCTAAGAAAGTATTTTCAATATAAGTCAATCTTGTGTTTTAGGAAACTTCAACTTGTGTGTGTAATGTTATTGTTCTATTAATGCCACCTGATTCATTTTTGGATGACACTGAAAATCCACCTGATTCATTTTTGGATGACACTGAAAATCTACCTGATTCATTTTTGGATGACACTGAAAATCCACCTGATTCATTTTTGGATGACACTGAAAATCCACCTGATTCATTTTTGGATGACACTGAAAATCCACCTGATTTATTTTTGGATGACACTGAAAATCCACCTGATTCATTTTTGGATGACACTGAAAATCCACCTGATTTATTTTTGTATGACACTGAAAATCCACCTGATTCATTTTTGGATGACACTGAAAATCCACCTGATTTATTTTTGGATGACACTGAAAATCCACCTGATTCATTTTTTGATGATACTGAAAATCCACCTGATTCATTTTTGGATGACACTGAAAATCCAATAGTAGCTATAAGCCTTTGTGCCCACTACACACCTCCTACGACCAAAAGAAGTGAAGTTTCTCCCAAATCCTGATCACACTGACTTTTGATTTAAGCAATGACTTCCCCCCTCTCCCCCTCCATTGACTTTTCAATAACATATTTTTTTTCTCTATGACATGTGAATTAAGACATTCTCACATCATATGTAAACACAGGTCCCAGAGATAAACTTGTCTTAATTGCACAGGACCACATACTCTTGAGCGATTTCTAAGTCAGTCTTGTCTATTTTAAATGTCTTCAATTGAAACTATCTCTAAACATTGTTTTTCCCATTTGCTAAACTCAGTAATTTTCAAGTACTTAGCTAGCTGGGCACCCAGTTGTTTAACTGTTAGGGAAGACATACTGGCTTTTGAGTAAATGGCCCCAGAAACATTAATCCAGAATTGAGATATGTTGTGTTGTAGGTTCATAAAGGCTGGAGGCTGGAATGTACTGAACACTTGGCTCCAGGATGCAAAGAATGAGGACAATGTTCCTTTGCTGATAGAGCTACTAAAGGTCTATGTACAGATGCCAGTGTCTGTGGAACTATTGAGACAGAACTCTTGTGCTAAGACAATTAAAGCCCTTGGTAAAGCCACAGAGAATACACGTATGTTTACTTTATATTGTACTTTGCTAGAGATTTTGGACTAAAGGTTTCCTATTAAACAAGTACAAAATTGCTATAGGAACAGATGATAATTAAATTTACTATTATTATCCCATCGAACGAAGTTCGGAGGGATATAGGGAACGCCTCCGTCCGTCTGTCCGTCCGTCCGTCCGGCCGTCCGTCCGTCCGTCTGTCCGTCCGTCCGTCCGTCCGTCCGGGCAATAACTCAAATACCGTTAGCCCGATTTTGTTCATATTTTGTACACATATACCCTATGGGGGTAGAAGTTCTGCTCGAAAGCCGATTTTCAAAATGGCCGCTCATTTCAAAATGGCGGCCATTTTAGTGCCGATTTTACAGTAATTTAGGTGTAATATGTAAAACTGTAATAGCAATATGTTTTAAATGTAAAAAAATTATAAAGGACATTAATAATGCTACAAATGTAGATATTAAAGAAGCACATGGCAGCCATCTTGAAAAATGGCGGCCTTTACTCGTCATTTTACGATTTTTGCTATAACTCAAAAAATAGTGGAGCGATTTTGTTCATATTTGGTATGTGAATACTATAAGCATTGCACACTGTCTAAAGACACTTTTGGTAGAAGGCGGCCGTTTTGAAAAAAATTTTGAAAAATGGCCGCCATTTTAATGTATTTTACTATAACTCGAAAAGTAGTGGAGCGATTTTGTTCATATTTGGTATGTGAATACTATAAGCATGGCACACTGTCCTATGACACTTTTGGTAGAAGGTGGCCACCATTTTAATGTATTTTACTATAACTCGAAAAATAGTGGAGCGATTTTGTTCATATTTGATATGTGAATACTTTAAGCATGGCACATTGTCTAATAAAACTTTGGGGAGTAGTCGGCCATTTTGAAAAATGGCCACCATTTTTATGTGTGTTATTTTACAAGTACGTGTGCGATTTTTCAAAAATTTTAGAGGTGGCTACTTAAAAGCACATTATTTCTTCTGATGACAACTTGGCTAGTGAGCAACCATTTTGAAAATGGTGGCCTTTCTGGTGTGTTGTTTTATGATATTTGCTATTCGTTTGTAAAAATGCCAGCCATTTCTGTTCGATGGGATTCGCTACGCTTTGGCGTTGCCATTGTTCTGGTTGTTATTGTATTGTAATATACTTTTGTTAAAATCAAACTGTAGGACTAAATGTGTAGTCTTGCATCAGGCCTCTATACCTCTTATCTTTCTAACAACCTGGGCAAGAAATAGAATGGTGTTGGGTAAAAGGTCTTGATATAAGACATCTGTAAAAAATGAAGGAATAATTAGGTACATTGAGTGGGTAAATATTTTGTGTAGCACATTCATTGGAAAATTAAAATGTATTGGCACAATAATTAAGGGTGGGGAACATTGTCATATGATCAACCTTCCCAAACTAATGTAAAATGTGTTTTTTATTTAGAGTTAAAGGGTCTAGCTGATGATATAGTTGACACCTGGATGAAGGCAATTAAAGGCAATAAGGAGTCTAATGGTGGTAAGTTTATAGACCACGGGTACACAGGTAACAACATCATAGTGAGTTTGAATAGAATAGAAAATAAATCATAAGCTAAGATGTATGTATTATGAGAATAATTCTATACATCTCTGCTCACTATAAGATTATTAAATTCAGCTGTATATGACCTACTCACAATTTTCTATTTTGCTTTTTGTTTTAAATCGTCTTGTTTTTAAAAATCTTCATTTCTACCTATTTTTTCAGTCTACCTATGGTATTGTACTTTTCTTGTAAAATTGTGTTTTTTTTAATCTACTTGAGTGTTGTTTCAAATCTCATGTTTATAAATAATTTTTCCTGTAGTGTTCCATTTATTTTTAATTATCAGTTATTCTCAGTTTTACCAAAGATAAGAGACATCACTATTGAGTGATTATAGAAATTTAGATACCAATAACAGCTGTATTTAAACAAATCAGCCTCATTAAAATTATGTGATGTGAATTTCAGATAAGAAAGATGACAAAGACAAGAAGAAAAAACATCATAAGTCTTCTCATGGTGACAAATCCTCCCATAGTGACAAATCCTCCCATGGTGACAAATCCTCCCCACGTGGTGAAAAGTCATCTAAACATACCCATGAAAAATCATCAAGCAGTACTAAAGTAGATAGCAAAAAATCAGACTCTAAGCAAACCAACAATAAAATCCATAAACAATCTAGCAATGACAAAAATGGAGTATCAAATGATACCAAAAATGGTGAAAATTCCAAACCTAGGCCAAAGACGGTTAAATCTCTACCCCAGAAGTTCAGGTCTCATGGTCTGGAAGAAGCCTCTGCAATGAAATTACTACCCAAGAAAAAACCAGTAGAAGTCAAGGATAAACTATCTGTTAAGAGACTAATGTAGGTATTTTCTGCGTAATTAGCATATATTGTCTCTCAATGTGTCTCTATTCTGTTTTGCTCTTTTCAGGAGGAAATACATACTATATTTCCTGAATGTTGAATAATAATATCCAAATTGCATTTTCATGTACTTAAACGTTATCTGAAGTGCAGAATGCATTATAATCGAGCACTTCAATTTTATTCAAAAAATGCCCCCGTCAAGACTCAGTGAGTAAAATTGTACCTATTCTACCCTGAACTTGGTGCAAAAATGGCGACCTCATTCCAGCAAAAATGGCTGGAAATCTAACCTAACTGATGGATGTTTATTCATTTTGATACATGAGGGTCCCTTGTGTAGGAGCGTAGGTGTACTGTATACATCAATGTTTTTTATGAATTCAACACAGTCAACACATAGACCTAGTACATGACTACTTTTCTTGCACAAATAATTACTGTAGAATGAGTTAATTTGGCGCTACTTAATTTGGCGATTTTGCCATTTTTGGCATATTGGCGGCTTTTTAATTTGGCGGATATGCAAAAAAATCTGACCTCTTTGTTTTTTCGTAAAACTGTCCTCAGATATTTCATCATCCTCACGATGTTTCATCAGTTGAAGGTAGGAATTTTTTCTTTTGAGGACCACTGGCGATATTCACCACGTTTGTACATTTTTGTGAGATCATCCTTTACATTTTGCACCTCGATCGATGCTGCTACTATACCGCACTTTTCCTTTCTAGTTTTTCCCTGAGTATTAATGAGTGACTAACCAGTTCTGGGCCAATTTATGAGAGACATTTTTTCATATTTTTGGAAAAAAAACTAAACCGGAAGTGACCTAAATACACTGGACGAAATACCCTAGATAATTCCCGGGGACTCATTCTAAGTTTTGGCGAAGATTTATATTGGCGAATTTTTCAATTTCGCCAAATTAAAGCGGGCGCCAAATTAACCCAATCTACAGTAAGTAAACACTAAATCAATGTCTCTTACAAGGTGGGCCATAAAAATTGGGCATGTTGCATCATGCTTAAAAAATATTTAAGAAAACAAAGATGAACCATGTGTAACTTATCAGAGATGGGGAGTTTTATAAGATGTATTTGTGTATGTCGCATATCTTTAATGCTGTAGAAGTTCACAGATTTAAAAAATCTATGAAAGTTGTTCAATATATTTACCTTTATCAGCAAAAATAGCTCAATGCTCTCAATTAGACATTGGACGTAAATCCACAAATGTTTAAACTTTAAACTTATTAATTTTCATGACATTTGGTTCATCTATACTGTTTTAAATAGAATTAGAATATCTGTGAGGGTCTCATTTGGCCCACCCTGTATACAATTGAGAAGTTGCTTAATGGTATGATATATGGCCAAGAGGTTATCAATTAGTAATATGAAAGTATTCATCACCCCTCTGGTGTAGCATGAAATACCTTATATTAAAGATCATCCTTAATATAAAAAATTTGTAATGTAGAGATGTTTGTACAGAGTGAACCAAATCTCATCACAATATTAATACTTTCTGTGTTATAACATGTAGAATCTTGTCTAGAATTAGTGGTCGATGGGAGGAGGGTTGGTAATTATACAAAAAACTCAAAACAACAGGCATTTTCAGTAAAACAGCAGGATAGGATCAGCTACTGTTTGTTCTTAATATGGGTACCATGTCACTTAAACACTGTGTTGTCCTTCATACCAGCCCTTCCAAAATATTCTGTCTAGTTGGAAAAGAAATTCATTCATAGAATATTTTATGGGGGCTGAGTAGAGGGCCCATGTATGTATGAGACAATATTCTAATTTCAGAGGAAATGGTACATCATCTAAGGAGCCCCCTGAGAAGAAACATCGTCCTATATCACCAGTACAACTTCCTGACAAGAAGATCCAACTTCCCAACAAACCTTCACCTGACACAAAGGGAAAAATACAACTTATACCACCAAAAAAATGTAATAATGATTGTGTAATTCTCAATATTATTGAATTTGATGAAATAAGATTATGGAATTATAGTTTATACATGCGTTGTGCCAATATAGTGAACATGTGTGGATTATACAATGAGTATAGTGATCAAATAAATTGGAATGCAGTGCCTGAGTCAATTGGATATGTTATAACAACGGTTGCTATGGAGACACTGAATGAGCTCAATCTGTATTGGACTGTGGATCAATCATGTGCAGTTAGAGACGTTACAATAAGACTTGAAGACATTCCAACTTCAACTTTGTGCATTTCTAGTACAGTATATGGTTGCCATGGTAACAGGGTTTGTAAAAGTGCAATATTAAAACAATTATTAATGTTGTGTGTATGTGATGATGGGAGAAAAAATAAAATATTCGCAAAAATTGAAAACACGGTTTTTGCACTCAAACAGGTTTGTAGATCAGCCAGGTTCTAAATTAAATAATCTTTAATCCCGAAATAAAAATAATTTTCCCCATAGTTTAAAATTATAAAAAACTATAGAGTTCACACTATCATCCCTATATCATAAAAATAATGAAGTCCACTAGAATTCCAACTCTCCTTAATATCAAGTGAGCATTTAGCAGCATTGTGCAATATAATCAGAACTCAACACAAAAAACAGCATGTTGATAATACATCTGTACGCTAGCGTACAATTCATTGAATCTACTAGCTACTAGATTTTTCTGCTCAATTTAAATATTATTTTTTAATGATTATTAATACATATCATATATGAAAAAAATATTCATTAATTGAAAAAATAGATAAAATTACTACTTCATCTCACTAATAGAGAAAACATTCAAATATCAGTACATTTCACAAATGAAGAAAATATTCTTAAATCAAGAAAAGATTCCATTGTCAATGCATTTCATAAATGGAGAAAATATTCAATTATCGATACATTTCATAAATGGAGAAAATATTCAATTATCAATACATTTCATAAATGTAGAAAATACTCAATTATCAATGCATTTCACAAATGTAGAAAATATTCAATTATCGATACATATCATAAATGGAGAAAATATTTATCAATGCATTTCATAAATGGAGAAAATATTCAATTATCAATCTGTCAATGCATTTCATAAATGTAGAAAATATTCAATTATCAATGCATTTTATAAATGTAGAAAATATTCAATTACTGAATTATAAATGCATTTCATAAATGGAAAAATATTCAACTATCAATACATATCATAAATGGAGAATTATTCAATTATCAATGCATTTCATGAATGTAGAAAATATTCAATTATCAATGCATTTTATAAATGGAGAAAATATTCAATTATTAATGCATTTCATAAATGGAGAAAATATTCAATTATTAATGCATTTCATGACTGTAGAAAATATTCAATTATTAATGCATTTCATAAATGGAGAAAATATTCAATTATTAATGCATTTCATGAATGTAGAAAATATTCAATTATCAATGCATTTCATGAATGTAGAAAATATTCAATTATCAATGCATTTCATGAATGTAGAAAATATTCAATTATCAATGCATTTCATGAATGTAGAAAATATTCAATTATCAATGCATTTCATAAATGGAGAAAATATTCAATTATTAATGCATTTCATAAATGGAGAAAATATTCAATTATTAATGCATTTCATAAATGGAGAAAATATTCAATTACCAATGCATTTCATAAATGGAGAAAATGTTCATAAATTGAGAAATTATTCAATTATCAGTACATCTTATAGATAGAAATATTCAATTATCAATGCATTTCATAAATGGAGAAAATATTCAATTAGCAATGCATTTCATAAATGGAGAAAATGTTCATAAATTGAGAAATTATTCAATTATCAGTACATCTTATAGATAGAAATATTCAATTATCAATGCATTTCATAAATGGAGAAAATATTCAATTACCAATGCATTTCATAAATGGAGAAAATGTTCATAAATTGAGAAATTATTCAATTATCAGTACATCTTATAGATAGAAATATTCAATTATCAATGCATTTCATAAATGGAGAAAATACTCAATTATCAGTGCATTTCATAAATGGAGAAAATGTTCATAAATTGAGAAATTATTCAATTATCAGTACATCTTATAGATAGAAATATTCAATTATCAATGCATTTCATAAATGGAGAAAATACTCAATTATCAATGCATTTCATAAATGGAGAAAATATTCAATTATCAATACATTTTATAAATGGAGAAAATATTCAATTATCAGTGCATTTCATAAATGGAGAAAATATTCAATTATCAATGCATTTTATAAATGGAGAAAATATTCAATTATCAAAACATTTCATAAACAGAAAAAATGTTCCATTATCAGTACATTTTATCCATATGTTTCATAAAGGGAGAAAATTCTTTCAGTTATCAGTATATCTCATAAATGGAGAAAATATTCAATTATCAATACATTTTATAAATTGAGAAAACATTATGAAACATTATCAAAACATTTCATAAACAGAAAAAATGTTCCATTATCAGTACATTTTATCCAATTAACCTTGCGATACATCTCATGAATGGATTGTAAATGGGGAAAATATTCAACAATTTAAAATGTATTTATACATTTTGTAAATGGAAAAAAATTCAGATATCAATAGGCCTGATAGGCCTATATTACATTGATGAAAAGATATACAATTTCAGAATTATCAGTACATTTCTTAAATGGAAAAAAATATTCAATTACAAGTACCTTCCATACATTGAAAAGTATTCCGCTATATCGATGCATCTTTAAATGGAAACGATATGTACAATTATAATCAATACATTTCTGAAGTGAAATTTATTCAAGAAAATTTTCAGTAATCAATACATCTCATAGGGCCTACTCATAAACTGAGAAAAAATCAACCGTCAATTCAAAAAAATAGAAAAGATTATTCAACTATCAATATTTTGTTCATTCATTCAATTAGCTTATCAAAACATCTCATTAATGGTAAAAATACATTTTAGAAAATACAATGCATTTAAGAAAATTTTGAAAAATTCATAAATGGAAAAACTATCTCATCATGAATTTTCAGAAATTTGGCAAAAATTGCCCAACTTAAAAAGCTGGAAATGTCCATAAAATGGTAAAATACAAAATTAAATTCATCCAGTTTAAACAATTTACCGTTATCACAAATCTGACGCTAACAAGGCCTATATGAAGAGTATATCTGATAAACATTTTATTTAAAAATTGTTAGTGCTGCTTTATCACACCATCCCTTTCATGTCCATAAATTCAATTAACATGATTCGAAAAAGGAATTTTCTGATCATTTTAAACATAAGACTCTCAACTCATCATTTTTTTCGATCGAGTTCATCACTCTAGTTCATCACATATTTCACCCAAAGATTTTGAATTGAATTGAGATTCTCCATTGTAAATTGAGTTCCTAATGAACTATATAACCCACGTGGATTCATTAGAATGTATGATCTCTATCCTAATCATAACTCTGTGTAATCTTCATTATTTACAATTCCCAGCTTGTATAGATTTCAATCTAAACCATGCAATTGGCAGCTTCATTTCCATACATAATTCTCTCAACAATAAGTCTATGAACTCCAAGAGACCAGTCATTGCTTTCATCTTTATGTCCATTTCCTAAGAGACTTAACCTGTTCTTCAATATGTCCATTGCCTACATACAAAGAGATTCCTTGTTTAGGTCCCTTCTTCCTGATTATTCATGTGTTTTTTCAAGAGTGCATCCACACCATTTTAAATGTCTATCTTAATTCTTTTAATAGAAACAAAACAGTCATGTTATGATTTGAGATTCTTGTAAACATTCTTTTGACAAATTAAGATCATGAAGATGATGTATATAAACCCCTCTCTTGACAGTAATATTTTACACCCCCCCCCCCCATCTCAATGAAATCAATAGGCTATTATATGTGGATCACCCTGAGCCAAGCTATTTCAAAGTAATGAGTATAAATCAGCAAAATAAATGGCCTACACTCTCACCAATCAATCAATAATATCCATTAAACAATCAATACATACTAACACTAGTGCAACAGGCAAACTGACAATGTTAGCAGCTGTGTCATTCATTCAAAGAATATATAAACAATTCAATTTCAAATGTCAGCTCATTTTAAGATCAGAAGATAGGATAGTGCTCCCCATTTTAACCAATTCTTGAGGATGAGAGGCCGTACTCACCTCATTCTAAATATAGCATATTGCTACAACTGAAATCCTCTCATTCTTCAAATATGTTTTCCCCATAGTTTTATTTCTACAAGTCTGTAACAAGGCAGTGTTCTACAAATTATCATTAATCAGTCAATGTTTCATTAATCAATCAATTTCTAATAAATCAATTGGTGTACTCATTAATCAATCAGTGTTCCATTAATCAGTCATTAATTAATCAATATTCAATTAATTATCAATGTCCCATCAATCAATCAATGTTCTATTAATCAATGTTTCATCATTCAATCAATGTCAGTCAAGTCAAGCCTAGTGAGTTGTGCCTAATTGGCTGATATACTAGATGCTCATGTTTTAAAAGATCTTCCTTAACTCCTCTTACTTTCCAACACAATACCTCGTTAATTTTTTTATTTGGGAAAACTCATAAGGTCTACCTTTATAGTGTGAGAATTTTTACATGAATCCACAAATATCCCTCATTTAAAGACTACATGGATTAATAAAATGGAACACTATAGATTAATAAATTCATTATGCTGAATTAATTTGCACATTTTTTAATTGGACATGCTTCACACTATCTCCATGTTTCATATTCCAGTTCATTAATAACAATGTCCAATGATATTCACTCATGTTGAAATGAATTCTATTTATTCATACGGGTATCCAATGGCAACCATATTGTACTATGCACTGTAGATGATTGATCCACGTCTATTGATATTTTTGTTCATATATTTCTTGGATAACAACTCATTATAATCTACAATATTATGTCTTTCATTTTAAAAGTTTTTCATATTTGTTCAAATATTTGTGATACAAATAGATAAACTGTTTATGTATTGTCATTTCAATTGTATTATTTTCTGTTATTAAAAATAATGCTATTTTTATTTCAGTGCCTCCACATGAGTTGAAGGAAAGTGTAGGATTTATGGCTGCTTTAGATGTAATGGTGGCACCAGTGGTCAAAAAGAAGAAGAAAGCAACTAAACAACCCCCAACTCCCACATCACCTAATGCCCCCAAAGTTCCCTCAGTGAGTACTGTCATAAAACATTTTGCACATGATGTAGTTAGTATTTCATTTGCCTGTGCTCTATGCAGTGTAAACAGGCGTCCATAGTTTTTTTAGTTAGTTTCAATAAAATGGGAATATATTTCCATGTTAGTGTTGTAAATCAAAATATATCAAGAACATTTGTTACTGTGTTTTAGTTCTACAAAGATACACTGGAAGATGGAGGTATGTCACCTACGGAGAATGGTGATTCTAACAGTGTCACAGGGGATGATGCCAGCACACTCAGTAGTAGGCGCTCTAGTGAAGGTAAGTGACAGCATATAGTGAGGGACGGTTGGTCTGTGTTCCCATCTTCACAGAAAGCATATAGTGCACTACTCTCATAGAAGGATCGATGTTTTGTATTTCCATCTTCACAGTTAGCATAAGTGCAATTTTCACAAAAAAATTATTTCTTCTAGAAAAAATGGATACTTCTGAAAAGGAAGAGGAGGAGTTAGTTAATGGGAAAAAGAAGAAGCGTGTATCATGGGCAGATGATTCCAAGCTGCGTCAGATGCATTACTTTGAAATGAATGATGATGAGAGAGGTAAGCTGATTTGTTAATACAGGCCATAGAGTTATGCATTACATTAAATGTGCTTTCTTCTGAGTTACCATTTTTTCTGAAATACACCTCGAATCTTTCATTCCTTTTGGCTATTTAAAATATTTTATGCTGCAACATCCCTGAAAAACTCCAGGAAAATATTGACAGCTAGACATGGCCTGATAAAAGGGTACAAAGGAATAACTTTTTTGATTTTTGATCAATTTTCCATAATCCTTAAAATGAAAATTGAAAATTAAATTGTAATTTTACTGAATATCAAATATTTTATTTTAGTGAATGTGAATCGACTGAAAAGTTTTGAAGAATTGCGTAACTTGGAGAGAGCAAAAGACAAAGATGTCTTCAAACAGGCGCATGTAGGAGGTCAGAACGAGGATACAACAACAATGGAATTCATGAGGGTATGTGCAAAGTCTTCTGTTTTAGATTTGATATTTTGTGTAGAAGGTCAGTTCATAAACTATTGAATAATCTAATGTGTGATTCAATTATAATTGTATTTGTAAAAAGTAAATTTGCAGTAGGCTATATTTTAAGTGGTATTATGAGCACATTTTTACCTTTATTGAGGACATAAGATCAATTTAAACCTCAGTCACTACATAAAAATATAAAACCAAACACATGATATTTTATATGTGTTTCATTACTCATGCCTAAATTGCTATGTGAATTCCAGTGGTACACCCCTGCTTTAATAGATGGCCTCACACCACCCCAGAATGAACCAGGATGCAACAGTGAAGAGAAGAAGATACAGACAGAGAGAGAGGCAACTGTACTTCAAGCAATATACTTCAACAAAGCCATGTAAATATCTATTATTCTTTTATATAATATGTAGAACAGAATTGTAAGTCCCAAAGGGGTTCTTGTCAAAATTGATGGAAGGATCTCCTTGAAACTTATAAGCATGATTATATGTTGTTCAAAATAGTCTTTGTTTACTGTATTTAGATAAGTAATACAAATAAGCAACTGACTATTTCGACTCGGAATTGCAATAAAAAAGATTTATGAAATCCTCTGTGTATTCTAGGATCCCAGATAGTCCAGCAGAGGCTGACCCTGAAGCTATAGAACCAAATCACCACCCTAAGATTATTCCACTTGAAGATGTAAGTATTAATATGCCATGAGTAGTATCCAGTCCATGCTCTAATTATATATATTGTCAGCTCAAGCAACTCACCGTTTTAAAGTAGTAAAAGGAATAAGGTTGAGTTGAGACTTAAGATTTGGAAAATGTCACAATTTTTTCAATTTTTTTGCTGTGTTGCTCTCATTGTTCCATGTCATCCTAATAACCAACCTCAGTATTCTTCCCTTATTCAGATAATTGTTGGAAACATAACATGAGCAGGTATATCAGTATAGTTGACCTACTCTCACCAATAATTTGTCCCTGATTATTATTTTAATACTACCTATAGGAGTCAAATCAAGAGGATGAGCCATATAATCCCGAAGATACGCATCCAGTTGTTGATGCACCCCCTATGAACACTGGTCTAAACCTACCCCCTGCCATCCAGGGGGGTGTACTCTCACCAGAGCTTGCCCAACTTGTGGCAAATATGCAACAGCAACAACCAAATCAGCAACAGATGTCGAGTGGTGAATCCCCCACTCAAGGAGATATCACAGTCAATAATGTCAATAAACTACTGGCATCCATGATGGTAATATTCATATAGTGATTATACATTTAGTCTTGTTATTAGATAAAACTGTTAAATGTTAACACTATCGCAGGGATTTCCCAAAAGAGTTCAGATTAGAAGGTTTCACATTTTAACGGTTTTTAACATGGGAGTCAATGGGTGGAATATAAATGAGTTTTACATTCTTGTTAACAGTGTCCCAGAACATTTACTTCAGCAAAGTTTGAGATACTTTATTTATACCAAATGTACATGTTATATCTCAATACTTTTTGAAAAGTGCCACTCATGTCTGGACTATTGCCATTTTCTGTCATAACTCTTCTTAATAAATTTGTATTGTTCAAATGATTCTACGTAAAGATGTATTTTAGGGAGGACAAAGTTCTGGGGGAATGTCCCCTAATCAGGAAATGATGCTAACTGATAAACTGAAGAGCATGCTGGAGCCATTCCAAGGACAACTGCCACCCCCTGGGCCAGGCATGATGCCACCCCCTGGTTTCATGGGAATACCACCCCCTGGTTTCCCTCCATTTGGTATGAATGGTCCTCCCCCTGGTAAGTTGAAGACTCTTTGACAGCTTTGATACAATATGTGCATTTGACTTTTTGAGTCAGTTTGACAGTAAAGATAGAAAGTTAAGTATTACCCAAGAAAGAGTTTAATCTGATCAATCTTGTGGTCAAAGATGTGATTCTTATATTGGTTAAATTTCATGGGTTGAAAATGAAAGGCTGAATAGTTTAAGTTCATTAAACCTTAAGTTTGTGATCCATTCACTTAAGATTTTGAATAAATATATGAATGTTATTTTATAGGTGGTATGTCACCTCCTCATATGCATGGTCCACCCATGGGTATGCATGGACCTCCCCCAGGTATGCGTGGCCCAAACCCCAGGGGAGGACGTGGGGGACGTTGGAACAATCAGGGATCACGCAGACAGCCTAAACCTTGCGAACACTTTATGAAAGGACATTGTAAGTATGGAGGAAAATGCCAAAATTATCACCCAGGAATAAATGGCCCCCCATTATAGCACAGCGAAGGGATGGAGATTATGGGACCTTCACATGTTATGGGACCTTCACATGTTATGGGACCTTCACATGTTATGGGACCTTCTCGTGTAGCTTCAATAGGATGACAGGATATGTTCTGACCATCGTGCAGTATGGAATACAAAAGTACAGGGTTTCCACTTACTATGGAACTTGTTCTGTTTGAAACGATTGAAGTTAGCCATACTTGACTGAGTGCATGTCATATACAGTTACATGGCTGTTGAGCGACTCAGAATCATTTTGTCTGTTTTATCAGATTATGGTTTAGAGTTATCACATGCATTAGGAAATGTTGCAGGAGATATCCACAGATGAAAGATACATTGTTGGAATGGAGAAATGTTTGTAATACTACATGTGAAATGGATATAATGCTTACGTATATACAATTGAGAAGAAAGTGCTGTCATATAATAGATAGGCTACATAAGTATGGATGCATTAGGACCAGCATTACTAGAAGTTTATAGGATATAGCCTATAGGAGAAACCAACACATACAAGAAAACAGAGTCAGAGTAAATTAGCATTTGGAATGTCAGCAAATTATTGGATTTAACATCCACATTGATTATATTGGTAATACACACAATTAAATGAAATATATATAATTGAAATTAATGAATTAAAGATCATCCAATAGAGTGTGACTAGATGATGGACCAATGCTGATTAGTGATAAGTATAATATTATCTTAAAATTTGATTTATTGAAAAAGGGAGACATAATAGAGCTACTTGTCAAAATTGAATTAACAGATTAATGGTTAGTTCTAAGTACATGGAGCTAAAATCAGCTGGTTTGTGCTGAAGAAGTGCATGTTGTTATGTTGCATTTTTGGTTAGTACATGTACTTATATTTCACAACATTTTGTTAATTCTAATATGATTTAAAGAAAATACCAAATAATTTTCTCTCCCATTAGTTTTGCTTATATTTTATCAGTGCTCAACAGATATTTAGTTGCAATATTTTGTTTGTTTTCTTTCAAAGTTCAGTTCATATTTTAGTATAATCCTCTTGAAAAAGTGCTATAAAATTTATCAGAATCAATTACAGAACCCAATTAAAGTCTGAATAAGAATATTATTTAAAAGCAAAATTGCTGTCTTAATGTTAAGTTTTCTTTTCCTAAATGTGATCTTCATCTATTCATCTATTAAATGTGATCTTCAACTATTGTCATACAGTAATATGTGTATGCAAAATTGTTTTTATTAGAGCTACAATTTTATTTTGAATTTCAATTCATATTCTGCATTGTTAAATTTGATTTTAAAGTGACCTCAATTATTTCACAGATGTTTTCCTTCTTTTGAACACCTTGGTGTATTGGTGTCAGCTCAAGGATGTCAACTTAATGATGTCAATTTGAGGACATCAACTTTTTTAAGAGGTGCAATATACTCAGGGAGGAGCTTCTCTTTTAAACCATTCTAGTTAATGTTAAATATGTTGAAAGCTAACCGTTAAGATAACAACCTGAAGGATAGATTATAATCCAAATCAACAAAATTTATATATTCATCTCTAAAGTTCTAAAGTTTGTGAATCCAATTGCACACATGATATACAGAACATGGATCCTTCCTCTTGGATATCATGTACTTAATATTTCTTGTCATAAGTACAATACTAATTTGCTAGCTGCAGAGGGAAGCTTAAAAGAGGAAACCTAGGTATGAGAGATTGCTTGAAATATACTCTCAATATCATATTTGTGAATGTTTGAGTAGATTTAATTTGCTATATACCAATAATAGCACTAGAAAGATTACATGGTGCAGTATTAAGTACTAAATGTACATGTGTTCAAATGAAGAAATCGCTAGTGTTCCATGTATTACATGTCTTAGTCCGAATTATACATTTGGGATGAAATTAACATGTAGACCTAGTAATGGCAGGGCTGTCAATGAACACACCACAATGGATTAACTGGAAAACAGATATAATGGAGTGAATCAAAACCATAAACACCTATCAAATGGAAGTGCACTCTTATAAATGTCCTTATTTCCAGTTGATCCTCGTGTGAAAAGCATCAATTGACAGCTCTGTCATTTTGTTACATGTAATGTAATAAAAGATGATTAGCATCTTAGGTCTTGATTTGCCATGCTTTTCATGAAAAAACAAAAGTCACATTTGAAGGGTAAGTTGCTATACAGCAAGAGAGATCTGCCAATATATTACAGTATCAAATAGCCATTTCTTTACCTAAATCTTTTTGACTTCAAATTACATACCAGTCAATGCAATGTAATTTTGATGCTGTTTCATCAATGATGCAACCTATAGGCTCTTGCGATTTGTGATATAGTGGTGGAATTTGATTGCTTCATTTTCAGTGAGAAATCATATCAAAATTAGAACATGTTTTTGTTATTTCTTGAAGAGCAAGGCATGGATGTACGATTAGAAATAGTGAATAAAAAATTGTCAAACTTTTTAGCATCTTTATACAAATTGTAATCTATTTTTTTAAACTGAATAAAAGTCTATTTTTCTAATAATCTGTTCTTATTTGTCACGCTGCAAACCTGAGTTTTATGTCAGAGAGAATGAATAAGTTGAATGAATGATGTCAGAGAGAATGAATAATTTGAATGAATGAATGATGTCAAAGATAATGAATAATTTGAATGAATGATGTCAGAGTCGGAGAGAATGAATTATTTGAATGAATGATGTCTGATAGAATGGATAAGTTGTACGAATTATGTCCGAGAGAATGAAAAGTTTGAATGAATTTTGCCAGAGAATGAATTAATTGAATGAATTATAGTATGTCGGAGAGAATGAATAAATTGAATGATGTCTGAGAGAATGAATACATTGAATGAATGATGTAAAAAGTGGACAAGTATATATAGAACAAAATATGTCAAAGAGAATGGACATGTAGAATGGATGATGTCTGGCGTTTCCAATTTAAAATATACAAATGAAATTTTGTGCACAAAAATGTACACCTAACTGATTTCTTTGCTTTTCATCACTCCCAGTCAGTGTGGCAGCCTCAGTGAGTTAGTGGTGTGTTTGTTTATGGAGGTATTACCGTCTCCTCGAGTTCCAAGTCATATCACTCCAACCTGTATGAGTGAATGTTTGATACAAAGGCGACAAGATACTATCTTGAATTGATGTCTTAATGTCAACTCCTATCATTACGGACTGAACAGCTCTCTAGATTTATCTGATCTTGAACCCAATCCTATAGATTGTAGCGCCAGTTCATTATTCTGGTTTACCAGGCCCCCTCTTATATGTCATTTGGGAGGGGAATTTAAGACAAAGGGGATGCAGTTATCGTGATGCTAGCACATGTATGAGCTTTTATGTCCAATTGTTTTGGATGGAGATCAGTTGTTTCTTTGACCTGGCATAAATTGTGCAATTGAACTGACATAAAATCTTGATATCATTTTAATATTGGCCTTTTGATAACCTTGACATGTTAGTTTGAATTGACCTGGTTGTCTATACATCACTTAATGACGATGAGCAGCATAATTATTATTCATTCGTTGTTTTGTTTTCAATGTTGCTTGCCATATGACACCTTGACTGTGAAACAGGTTCAGAGTGTTCATTAAGTAAGTTGGTCTTGACTTAGTTTTATTTACTAGTTAACATGTTTATGTATTATTGACTGATTGTTTGTTGAAAAGTTCCTCCTCTTCCAGTTGACTGAAAATATAGATTCCGTATTTGGGCTGAGTGTAGTGAAATACATCAAAACCTGTGTTAGTCGAATGCCTATCATACCTCATAATGGTGTTTTACTTATGGCTTTATGGAACTTTTCCACTTTAAAGGTTATACTGTATGATAAAATAAATACAAACTAAAAAATGTAATACCATGTCACTGTGTGTACAAGTGCTGCTGTTACAACAGAAGTGCCCAAATTCATATTTATGACTTGAAATAAGGATTTTTTCAGATTCACATTTCCTTGTTTCATACACAGCCAGGTCAATTGTTTGCTCATGTTGTTCCCAGTGTGGTTGTCTTAATAAGATTTTGAGGTGTCAAAAGATGTTGGTTGTGGTTGATATGAGGTATATTTTAGTGGGTTATGTGAGGTAGATGGGCAATGAGAGGCTTATGAAGAAAGATTGTGTTATTGGGCATATATTAGTGTGTAATGTGAGGTAGATGTTATTGGATGATGAGAAACATAATGTTGATGGGGAATGTGAGGCACATACAATTTGAGATGGTGGTTGGGTTGAGAGGCCAATGTTGATGGTGAATGCGAGTCCTTTTCATTTGGGGTTTGGTTAATTTTGAGTGTGAGGTGTTATGAGGCATAATATATTGTGGTATTGGTGGCATGAATTGTAAGAGTATGTACTATGAGCCAGATATGTAGGGCTGTGTGGAATGCATTATTGTTGAATACTGTGAGGTGTTAATTGAGTCATTGTGAGACACAAAACCTGTGGAACACCTTTGGTACCTCTAAAAAAGTGTTCTACTTAGGTGTTCCACTTATAGAGGGTCATTTAACATTTAGTCAGTCAGTTGGTCTTGGGAGTCTGAAAAGTGTTCCATGAACAGGTGTTCAACTTCTAGAGGTGTTCCACATTATAGGTTTCACTGTAGGCCTATATAGGGAGCTCAGTGTGTGTACCATGTGATGATGAAACTTGAATTGATCCTCGTGTTAGAAGTGTGGTCTCCCTTGTGTTATTTGATTGGTATGAATTGAAGTGTGCCGTGTTGCATAGTACGGTGTGAGGTTGTTTTGCAGGACAGTGTAACAATAGTTCAGGACCATGAACTTAGATGATGCATTGTCCAATATTAAATCTGATGTACATTGTGTTCAGCTAAAGTTATGGGCGAGCAGTTGCCTTGATTATTTAGTAACATGCATCAGTTGTATGTCAAAGTTTGTGGCAGATTTGAACAGATAACCATCATGCTTAGATAGAAAGTATTGTAATTTTCTAGTATTCGTCTTGAGTAAAGCATTTATCTAACTTAAGATATCTTGTAAAAACAACAAGTAATTAGTTTGTAAATGTATGTTTATAAAATTATTAAAAGCAAATGTAAAGTTTATTTCTGTTCAAGCTCAGTCTTTACATTAAACTCTGTGTTTATATGGAGTTATGTTGTGAAAACATGGAGTCATTTGTGTTTATGTTGAGTTTATCTATTTCACTGCTCTGGTTGTTACTATTGGGGCCTGTGCATTTACATGGAGCTATATGTGTATTCATGGAGCTATACCATATTTGTATACATGGAGCTGTTCTTGTTTACATGGAGCTATCCATATTTGTTTACATGGAGCTGTTTGTGTTTACACAGAGCTATATGTGTTTACATGGAGCTCTTTGTGTTCACACAGAGCTATATGTGTTTACATGGTTCTATATGTGTTTACATGGAGCGCTATGATCTGTATGTGTTTACATGGAGCTCTCTGTTAGACTGTTACCACTTTCAAACCATTATACAGACATCAGTAACAGATTATCTTCATTACTTTAGGGCATTCATATTTGTTGTTATTTCTTATCTTCTATGTATAGTCAGAGCAAATGGATTGTATTTCAAAGTGTACAGTACTGTAATTAGAAAAATAAATGTTTAGAGAATAGAGGACTGTAAATAATTGATTTGTAAATAATAAATCAATCATGAAGATATATAAATGAAAAAAAACATGGTTTTGTTCTAATTTTTAGTCATAGGTGTGAATCTAATGAAGCATCGTTTAAATGAACCTGGGTCATTAAAATACAGAAACTTTGTAAAGTTCAGAATTTCAACATCATTATATCTATGATTTTAACAATTGATTTTGGAATTCTTAACTTAACAAAGTTTCTGTTTATGCCCTCCAGAATAGAATAGTAAACTCTGAGAATAGGAATGCGGTCGTAAAATAGTTTTAAATCATGTTTCTTCAGTTATTCATCAATGGTTCACCATTTTCAGCTTTATTCACGTCCAGAGTATGTGCAAATGTACATAGTTAAATAACTGACTCATATCTGCATATACATGACATTTTATAGCTTATTCCTGTTTTTTGCAATTACCTGTTTAATTACTTTGCCTGTAGTCCAACTATCCACGCTTGATCTTTACGCCCCCCCCCCCCATATAGTTTGTCATGCCAAGATTAAAACAATAGGAATAGTTACCAATAGGAGACAATGATCGTGGTAATACAGGCCCATCTGAAGAGGGGGATAGTGGTTTTTATGGCTTTCAGATATATTCAGAATGCACCAGTCAGGGTCAAGGAGGATTGGCTCCAAGAGTGCAACATCGATATTCTGTCCCATATTTGAAGGTGTCATGATTCAAAATTCGAATTTAAACATATATCTAGTCAGTTATAATTTCAGAAAATAAGGACATTTCGACATTTTCATCGTTGGAATATATCAAGTTTCGATCCTGGGAACCAATCATCCTAAATTTCAAAATTTTTGGCAGCACAACACCCCTTCAGAAATCGTTCAGACGTAATATATACCAATATGAGACTCGTGTGTCTACTATGTGCTAAGAACAAGCTCCTTTGAACCTATGAATAAATTAATAGAAAAGCTCCAGCTTTAAATAATTGATTTTTGTTCACAAGACAAATGTTAATTATTCATTATGTCTGTCTTCTGGGATTTTTGCGAATCACTCATTTTTCTGTTTTGAATCTTACTCTTCCAAACTAGCTCTGCTCTCACTAACACTGTTCACATTTCTATTATTTCATTAAACATCCATTTTATCTACGACTTCCTTGTGTAATGAAAGCAGACAAAAATATATATATTTGCGGAAACAAGGGTTAATGTAACACGTGCCTTTGTTTACTCACGTGACCAGTGACTCACCTTGACCTTTGACATCAGATTACTCCATATTGAAATGGATTTGACTGTGGAAGGACACTTGCTAAAAACAAAAGAATTGCTGCATTTTACTGACACTCGTCATCAAATAAAGTGAGTAAATGTACGTATTTGAAGAACTGCTTTTTAGCATTATAACCTTTTTTGAAAAATCTTTGTAATTTTAGCTGTAAAATAGATAATGTTTACAGATTTTATTTTGTCATTTGTGAATATTTTGTCTTCAATAGCCTATAATTTTAATTTCCATGTCATTTATTGCCAGCTGATAGCCGGTGTTAACATGCTTTATTGTCATGATTTTGATGGTGTGAAGATGGAGTGTTTCAGTGTTGATGGATTATATTTGAGTTTGGCTAAATCAGAGCTGGTATGGATTGAGTGGATTCCAACTGATGCAGGGCGTTCCAATTCAAACTGTCCCGCAATTTGCATATTTGTAACGTATTTGCTGAAGAAATTGAAGTCACGCCTGTTTTATTTGCATGACAGATTATGTCATGCAAATATGCATTTTTTTTTTATTATAATGTCAATCAGAAATATTTTTTGGAGAAGAACATCCAAAATATGAATGCCAAAAAAAAGTACGCAGAATTTCGTTTGGAATTTTCATACGAATTACGAATTGTGTATATGTCATGCTTGCAAGGAGGATTGGCTCCCAGGGTTCCAACTTGATATTCTCCAACGATATATGGAGATCATAGGCGATGGGTGCGATCACCCCCCCCCCCCCATAACCATTAAAAATATAAAAATATAACCATGAGATAAAAGAAGAAAAGAGCTTTAAAATGCTTTTCATTTGAAGCTTCTAGCTCAATTTTTGTAAAATTCAAGATAAATCTTAATTTTTTGGCTTGTTTATGCCACAATCGCACCCCCCTGACTGAAAACCAATATTTTAGCGATCGCACCCCCCTGACTGAAAGTCAGCTACGCCCCTGGAGATGTTGTGATTACAAAATTTGAATTCAAACAGCCGTCATTTTATTCACTTCAGAATTTGAAAATTGGGAATTTTGGTCTTATTTCCAAAGAAGTGATTGAGATATTGGTTTAAATCTTTAGTAGTTGATCATGGATTTATAGTCAGTTTATATGATTTCAGAAAATAATGAAATCCTGACATTTACATTGATTGAAAATATGGAGTTGTGTCCTTGGGAACTAATCCCCCTTAATATGAACAGAAAATAGCAAGAATAATTTCACAAGAATAATTTTGACACTTAGAGTCTTAGATATATATTGTATCTCAAGTTCTTCCAAAGGGCCAACTTCATTTTCTGTTTGACTGTTTCTATAAAGCCCATATATTCCAAAGCCTGTAGATTCAGTTGATTTTGTTCTTATTTTAGGCCCTATCAAATGTGACATAACAAGCATGGAATAACACTGTACCATCTGCAGAACAATTTAGTCAACAAAAATAACCAAGCACACAAACCTTAAATCAAAATGAGCAGTCCTGGATTTGGACTAAAGATCGGCTTGGACACCTGGCTGAAAACACTAGGATTAGAAGAGTATATCGAGACTTTTAAAGAATTTGATAGTTTACAGGTAGGCCTAATTTAAGCTTCAAGATCTAAAGTTTAAGTCTGAATCATGCATGATTTAAATTAAGTGACTTATTCACAAAGGTGTTTATATCCATGGTTTATTTTAATCCTGTTTTTATTTTGTAATCTGGTATAACCACATACTGTATAGGGATAGTGATTTGAAGCAAGTGTATATTTACAGTGGTGCTTTATGTTTGTCATTTTAGGAGGTGCTACCATTGACGGAAAAACAACTTAAGGAGCTAGGAATCAACAATGGCGCTGCACGAGCCAAGATGGTGTCAAGTTTGAATATACTCAATGAAAAACTCAAAAAACGTAAGTACATGTACTGTATAGATCTACTACTTTACAAAGTGAGTGTTGGGAAAGCTGTTTAAGGTGGATGCTACATGGACTGGGTAAGGTCTTGACATACACAGGTGTTGTGTTCACATAAAAAGGTTCCCATAACAAGGGTGTCTGGAAATCCAGAATGTGATTGAGAACAGTTAAAGATGTTCTAGTCTTGTTAAAGCCCTTGTGGCTCCCACCCAACTCCACACCTCCCCACAAGCTGGTGTTGAAGAAAATAAGAGGGGGTCCAGAGACTTGAAGCAAGACTTAAGATGTACTCAAATATACATATCACTGTATTCATATTATTTAATAGCCTATATTACATATATGAGAATCCAATAAAGGTCAACCACCATTTTATATAGTCAAAGTCATTTGAAAAGGAATACTTTTAAAATCAGTAATCTTTATTGTTTCAAAAAATTAGAATGCATTTAAATAAGTCTCTGAAAATCCATTTATTGAGGAGTTCCCAGGCAAAGGTTCACTTTCATTGGCCAATTACATTTGTTTTTTTCACTTTAGAATAATAAATGGTAATCCCCTCTGTATGCTTGCATGTCAGGGACAGTATAGTCATAGTTCAATATTATCATCCCAAGATGGAATTGAAACAATAGTGAATTAATATTGATTTACTAAATAAAGGCTCGGTTGGGGATATGAATCACATATCAACAGAAAACAATCCAGTCATTTTTTGTCTGATTGTTAGGCTAAAAAAATAGGAATTATTAAATTATATTGAATTTTCAATTATTTGTTAATTATGATTTTAAGTAATTATGAGCATTAAATACATGTATTCCTAAAATGGGTTGAATAAATAATTCTTTCAAAACGTTTTAACATTGGCCTCTGATAGCAACTGGCTTCATTTATTGATCAATCTCAAATGTAATGTCAATTGGTATTTGTTTAAACTCTTATCTTGATAAACACTATCTCAATGTTAAGTAATGTACTACTGTTTAGTAATAGTAAGTTTTGATGCTAAGATCTTAATGACCCCAAAAGAAGCTTTAATGTCCCTTTGTTGGTGTTTGAATTAAGAAATATAGACCGATGAGCAGGTACTATATTGATGAATACATACCGCAGGGCTAGGCACAAACATTTTCTGTATCCGGTATGACTGAAGGGAGTGAGGGGTTCAAAAGCTTTTGTGCCTATCCCTAAAGTTTGTATTCTTCGATATAACACCTGCTCTGAGGTCTATATTATGATTCGAACATGAAACTCACCAAAATTTTTCGAATATTCATTATGGGCTGGCATGATTACCACGGCCCACCATTTATAGAAGGCATGAATACTGTTATGTTCGAATATAAATTAAATACCAGCTAATTATGAAGGCAAAAAATTCTATGATTTCAATTCTGATTTAGTTGCAAAATTTTGATTGTTCTCATCTGGTGATGGTTATATAAAAGGATTACCGTATCTTTAATTCAAAAAGTGTAGACACTGAAGATGATTCAGATGAAGCTTTCTTTTAAGGAAGCAAACTTTTGAAAAGGGTACTTCCCAAACTATGATGAATAATGTCTACAGTAGGTGTATTTTCTGAAGTACCCTCCATGTCACTTTTTGTTAACGGAGTGGGGAGAATGGGGTGGTGATTGATCAATGAATGATTCAAACTCAAATGCATTTTGAGAAAGTACTGACAAGTCAGAAAAAACTTCAATGATCGCAAATGGTATTACTTGTACTACCTGTAAACTTGGTTTTAACTCTCACCTGTAAACTTGGTTTTGCCTCTCATCACTTATACCACCAGTGTAAAACACATAAATTAGATTTCAGGTCAAATGAACAAGTTTGTTACCAAAACAAGTCATAAAATATGTTTTCTTAAGTTTAACTGTTTGTTGTTTCAATGAGTTTACCCTCTGGAAAAATAATACAGTACTAATGAAAATGATCATCGATTTAAATTAGTGTACAGTAGTAATCAGTTGTATATGAACATACATGTTGACATCTTAAACTATTTTCTCATGTACTTATTTTAACACGTTTTGACTTTAGGTAGTAAATTAACACATATATATTTTGAATATGTTGACAATGCAAAAAATAACCTCAATTATTTTGCTGTTGACTTTGGAGTGACATGCTATCTGTAAATCTGTATTTGCATAAAAGTGAATAGTTCAAGTATCATAAATCAAGAGGAGATCATAAAAGGGTAATCATCTCAATGAAACAAGAATAAAAGTTCAATTAAGTTGTATTTAAACAAATATACTGCATTTTGAAATTACATTTAACTTGTATGAATGGCAAAGGTTGCCCTTGGAGGCTTGAAAGTAGCTTAGAAAAATATCAACTTTGTGATCGATTTTCTTGTTGTTCATAATGCCAAGTAATGAAGATGTCAAAAATTATGTTAAAATTGAATCAAGATGTGGTGTCAGATTTTCTCCTTGCAGTCATACAATATGTTTAATATACAATATATTTTGAAGACATCTACAGTTAAACCTGTCTAATCCATTTCCAACTGCCAAAAGTGTTTTAGATTAGCATGTCTTCAGATTTCAAGGTACTATATGAGTGTGTAGGAGATAACAAAATTAGGACCCAGAAAATGTGTCCACATTGAGAGGTGTTCAGATAAGAGAGTTGTTCAGATATACAGGTTTCACTGTATAAAAATACCCGAGTCTGAATGTTATATTTTTTTCACATAGTGACATTAACATCCACTTTCTCTTTCCTTTCATCTATCGACTGATGTGATAGGTAAGAGGTCTGGTAAATAAGAAGGAAAATATCATGACATTAGCTTTTCCTACCAAAACACTATTCTTTGGGTGGTGATAGAAAATAGATATTGTATTACTTCAGCACTTTACTGAGACAAAAAGTACTTGGTATTTACATTAAGAGCATTAGAAGCAAAGCTCTATCACACATAAGTACACCCAGTAAGAAATGTTTTACTTCACCCAAGGTTACTTCAATAAATCTTAGACATGTCAGTATTGAACTGCTGAGAATGTTAAAAAATAATTTGTTAACCCTGAAACTCTGAAGTGTTCTGAAGTATGGGATGTCGCTATTTTAGAGAGGATACTGGTATTCATGAATGAAATTCTAAACTCTTATATTCAATAATCTTAGATCCCCACATCCTTTATAGCGGATTATTCCTTGAATTTAACCACAATCGGTAAATAAATAAAAAATAAAGATTGAAGAAGGAAGTATTAGCAAGTATTTGAACTGAATTTCATCATGTTCCCTAGCTCTCATGTTTGCTATTTTTAAAACTGGAATTAAGAACAACATTTTGACTGTATGCCTGTTTTCCTTAGGCTTGCACATAGAGTTTACAGAATAATTGCATCAAATCACAATCCTGACAAGGCCTTATCTTTGACTTGTTGCTTTTGGTTCTAAGGGTTTTATCAAGGATTTTTATCTTGTTAATTGTGTTGAAGTTATGTAATGTTACATTGAAAGTATCAGGTCCGAATCCAAGCTGTTTCTTGATAGACCCACAGCAAAATACCAAGAATGTGTATCAATATTATGGTATGTTAATTAATTTGTGATGGAAATTTTGTCTAGTAATAGAACATACCACCGACTACCAAGGTCATTGGGAGTCAGTTTTCATAAAATACTTCAACTGAAAATCAGTGATATCATTATGCTTCTGCAAGCCCCCTCCCCCTCCCCCTCCCCCTGGATGTCAGCCAAAGCTCATATATATATCAAATTGATATTTACGTTATTTGGGGATGGTGTCAAGTCATATAGCAAAATAAACTTTGTTTTCCAGACAGTCATCATTTGAAAACATTATTTGTTTTTTTGTATTCATGTTTTTTGAAGACCAGTGTAAAATTGATATTGCTTTAACTGCATTCTCTCAACAGTTCATTTGAGACTGAAATGAACATAACATAGCTAGATGATTAACTTAGCCTTGCCTAAAACTCCTGCCCGAAATCAAGTCAATTCTCACAATTTAGTCCAGCATCATTGTGAAAATTGTATTTTGCAAAACAGTAGATCATGCAGAACCAAATAGTCTTATTTTCAAATATGCGTGTGTTGCATGTTTTTGCAAACATAATCACAGTTAAATGACTTAAGCGTACCTTATACAAGCTCTGATATACATGAACAACAAGCAATTTTCACTGTTGAAAATCATCTCCCCGCTGTGTGTAATTGGAGTTAAGAATCACAAGTCTCTGGTCTCTGTTTTATTTTGGCACAGTATACAGAACTCATAGCCAAGTTATTGGTATATACAACAATACATGCAATGCTTGAATAATCAAATTAAATCAAACCTGTTTTCCTAAATATTTGCATATTGTGATAATATCTTACTACTGTAAATTATTTATTCTATTGAAGTTGTTATTTGATAATATTTTGGAGGTTACTTTGGTCTTCACATCTTTCTGTACAAACAGGTTTGTATCTCAGTTATAAGTTAGGTTCATAACTATACATGTTTTTGAGGGTTGATGTATATTTTGAGTTGAATACGACAAGTGTTTTTTAGTTAAAGTTTAATTGAAGAAGGTAAGTTTCTTTGAGGTCACTTACATGTACAATATTTCAAAATATATTGTTATTTGTAATATTTTGATGTGAAATCATTTTTTCAAATACTTTAATAGCTGAAACTGTGGCACAAAGTTTCTTTAACATGTACCTGTATAATGTGCACAGTACTTTGACTACAAATACGAGGCAATAACCTATTTACTTATAACATTATGAACCTCTGAGACCAGTTTATGATATTTTGAAAGCATTGTAAATAAATGCAAGCATAGCATGTAAAATGAATGGAGTAGTTGATAACGTAAATATCTTGAATTCAACCTTGCTGTGAGTGACGCTGACGCAGTAACCAATAATGCCAGGAGTTCTAATCAGCAATTAACGATGTACCATATGTCATTGTGACAACCTCTGGCAGTTATAGATTTTAAAAAACATATTGACGTTAAAGTGTATGATGTCAAGTATAGCACCACGTCAGTTCAGCATTAAAACTGTAAATACATCGTAGATAGATAATGATGTTTTGATTCCAGTAATAAAAAGAACTGTAAAAACTGGCAGTTTTGAATATGTCTATAATTATTTGGGGTTAAGTTTTTTTATTGTCAGCTCATTGGTAAGAATATTTTTTTCATATTGATTATTCAACTACATGTTGATTATTCTACTACAAAATTCACAGAACTGAGGAAGACAATATAGGCCATAAGTCAGGGGAATGAATACATTGGAATAAATTTTTAGCTTTTGGGAATATCTCTCAATTTCTCATTTTAGAGTTACTTTTGAAAATATATAATGGCTTTTCATTAAAAAATTGAAAGAACAGATCTTATCATGTCACCCAATTTTTTATACTTGAAAAATGCTGGTGATTGTAACAATTGTATTTGTCTATAGCCTTGTTACTGGATTCAAGATAACATTCCTATTGTATTACTAAGAGTAAGAAGGATACTGTGTTCTTACAAAATTACCATAAAATAATGGCACAGTCATGTTACATTGAGGAGTCATCGTGGAAAGATCCAGATGGTTTTGAGGGTATGATAATAATACTCTTCTGCCACGACTGTGGGATTAGTGATAAAAGAAAGATAAATGAGCTTTTAGTTATCTGTCGAGACAAATTGCAAAAGCAATTTGAAAATATATTACGAAAATGATCTCTGTCCTCGTTAGAACAATTATATATCCCTCTCAAAATGTTTCATTGTGAAATGTCAGTCATATAAGTCCTATTATTCAACAAATACAAAACAAGAAGATTTCAACATATGTTTCTCTATGCATTATATTTTTAAAGTGACAACTGCAGAATAAAAGTAAATGATTAACATAATCCAAATACATATATGTATAATATATTCAGGCCCGTAGTCAGGATTTGCAAAGGGGGGGGGGTTCACTTTTTGAAAATTTCCAGGGGTGTTCACTTTCAATAACTTTGCCCTGAAAAATAGCCGAAATCACTCAGAATGAAAAAACTGCATGATTCTAACCCCCCCTTGGCTACGGGCCTGATGTTGACTTGAGAAGAGACATAGTAAAACTGAGACAAAAGGCATAAGATATCTGTACTTCACTAGTAAGTGTGTTATGTGAGACTATGAGATGTCATTTTGCTTTAGTAAGTAGCCACATCAACTACTGTATATCCCATGCAATTGTCTCCTCAAGGAGAAGCTTTTCAGCTCCACCTCACTCCCCTGGCATTTGTCTTTTTCGTATTTGAAGTATATCTATGTTCTCATTTGTATGGTGACAAGAGGAGGGAATAAGCACTCATAATACCTTGATCCCAGATGTAGACCAATGGAAATGAGGATCATCTTTCCATGTAATTAAGATCAAGTGATTTGTGATTATTTCCCCCTTTTGGTGATGCCAAGGAACATTTTTACAGATAGTTTCTTACAATGATTTGGTCCTTGAGAGATCTGAACATGGATGCTAACAACAAATTATGTCTCAAATAAGTCCAAAAATCATCCCACCTGTGCCCACCTAAAATCTATTTCATGAATTAAACTAAAAATGTTTTAAATATAGTATAAAATACTTGGTTTATCCCGAATGTATCCTTGTTGAATATTCACCAAATAATTCTTTATGTAAGAGTAGGATATGAGCATAAATCTTGAATAAATACATAAATGTGTAAACTTTAACTTCAATGCCAGAGTCACTCAGTGCCACATATGGTAGGAACATGGTCAACATGACTTCTGCAAATGTTATGAATTGAGTTTTTGAAAAAAACATGATTTTTACAAGGAAAATACTTTTAATTTGAAAATGACAATAAAAATGGAGGAATGGGTCAGTCTAGAATAATGGTTTCAGCTTAATTTTCATCTCTTTGAAAGAGGATGCTTCATTTGTTTTGTTTACTATTAGGTTTTCTGGCCATTCATACCAAGTTACACAGTCATATTCTCCAGAGATACATATGGGTCCATCTGAGTATGTCCCAAACACGCTACCCTGTCCCCCACAGGCCCCATACCACCATGGGCCTAAATGGTACACTGCACAGTTACCTGATGATTTGTCATTATCATTATCCTTTGTTGTGAACTGCATATGATTGCTTGCACTCATCGAGTCCCCTGCAGTGCCTGTATAGCCATCAATATTTAACCTGTATTTATCCGTCTCATCTCTGATATCAAAAGTGGTATATTCAGCGTATCTTACCTCTCCTGCTGACGTCTCAGTCTCATTGTCCCATCTTGTCAGTTCAAATCTAGCTTTATATCGTTTCTGCTGCAACATTGACACTATATTATCCAAGCCAAGGAAGTATTCCCCAAGAATATTCCCAAATCCATTTTTATATGAATTCCAAAGGAGTTCAAAACTCTGACTTCCGTCAAACCTATTGGCTATGATAAGCCATTCATCTTCGCATCGAGCTACAAATCGTCTGTTTTCTCTTGTCTGTACAATGATCAAACCATTGCTTTGTCCCAAGCAATCCTTCCCGACTGGAACATTTCTGGTGTCTGGATTGGACACATCCGTTTCAGGATCTGGTATATCGATCTTGGTATCTTCTTGGGCTGGAATTGGTAGAAAGGATCATTTAGAAGACTGTAGTGGATGATATTATTACTACAATATTTATTGTTTATTTATAGAAACAATCATTATAATAATTGAAAAATGTGTCAATTTAAATTATTGTATATTCAGTAATATTGTTAAAGGCCCCTTATAAAGTTTAAACCCCTTGGGTTATATTGAAGTCGAAGTTCTACATGGAATAATTAAGTTCATACCTTTGCTTTGGTTAGCTAGATTATGTTCAAGCTTATCTAGTATAAGATTTGTCTGATTGTTCAGCTTAACCAGCTCCTTGTTTAGACCAGTTATATCTCCAGTCAAGCCATCCAGTATACCTTCTTGATCTCCTATTTGTTAATAAAAATAATAGGTTTCAAAATAATAAAGTTATTAGTGGACTTGAATCTAGGCTTTTATTCCAAAATAACATTTTTTCCTTGTGAAATAAACAGGGAATAAAGTTGATATTCAAAAAATCCCTTATCAGATCCCGTATCAGCCAAAATCCCGTATCAGATCCCGTATTTAATCCTGCATGAGCCAAAATCCCGTATCAGATCCTGTATTTGAACTCTTACCAGGGATTTATCTTGATTTCTTTTCGTTCAATTTTAAAACTTGTTCATAAAGTTGAGAATGTTGGATAACTCTAATTGTATTATTATGTGTCAACATCATTGGACAGTCAAACTGGAAAATGAATAATTTTCAGAAAAAGTTTCATGGAATAAATGAAGCGTATGTCGTGATGGAATATGAATTTTTTCCTCAAGAAAATATGATATTGGCCTCAGAAAATATCATATTGACACTTGGCCTCGGTCAATATGATATTTTCCTTGGCCAATATCATATTTCCCTCGAAATAAAATCCATATTCCATTCTTCCCATTAAATAAGCTCTACTAGTATTATATTTAGAGGGATATTGAATATGATACTGACCAAAGAATCTAAGTATACCTTAAGTTGCAAATTATGAAGAAAATTAAAACATCTCTTACGATTTTGAAAAAAAAGCTAACCATTGAAGAATCCTCCAACTGCCATTCCTGTTACTAAACACACTCCTAGCAGAATCAGAATCACTATCACGGCTATTACAATCAACATCCCTCTTTTGTTGGATGATCCTTTCTTTAATATCACCCTCTCCTCAGGTTGACTCCTATTTGTAACTTTTCTGTTGGAATAAGCATCTATTGTTTCATCCAATGTTGTGTAGACATCGTTGTCTTCCTTTGTTTGGCTTATTTGTGGTTTGTGTGTCATCTCGATTGGCAACATATACCCAGTAGAATTTCTTGCGTTGTCTGGACTATTTGCTGCCATTTTGTTATATGAACTACGTATTTAAAATCACCTTAATTAATTATTACATTCCTGCCAACTGCAATATGTTCAAAACTGAATGGTAAAACCAGTGCATGAAGGGGAATGACTGATTTTTCATTTGTAAGAAACACCCAAGAGATGAAAGAAAACTTTTTATTAAAGTATTAGATTATTATTATTAAATTATTATTAGTTAAAAAGTGTATGTAACTTCCTCGGAACAACTTGTTGATTTCCTCGAATTTATTTATTCTCATTGCCCTATTGGGCAGTTGTGTACAAGGCAACCATTGATTCAAACATAAAAAGTATTTAATCATTAAAAAGGGGAATTCTGGATTTCACCTTTGTTCCTTCAATTGACCTTGATCGATTAATAATCTTGTATGGACTATGGACTGTCTTGACCTGCTATAAAATTTATAGCAAAATATTTATAGTATAGATATTCTATTAATTATATAGAATTTTTTTACCACAAGCAATTTTAAAAACAGCTTAGCTGGCAAATGAAAACTTCCTTGTTAGAAATTAATAATATTAGTATTCAATTCAATATTGTGTGAGATGGAGGATTGGATTAGGCCTTTGGAAAGTGCATTTGACACCATGAATAGTAGTATAATTGACAATCTGGAAAGACTGGTAAAACTAATACAAATATAGGTTCAAGAAAACTGGGCATGTACAGGTGTGATACTATACATTATTATATTATATGCATTGTTGATGTGGAAATGTCAGCCTGTTCTGTAGCTCAGTGGTAGAGCACTTGTCTGGAAAGCAAGGGGTTGTGGCTTTGATCCCCACTGGGATGAAGTTTTCATATCAGCCCTTATACAGTAATATTAATTAGATATTATAAACTCACCTGACGAAAAGGTACCACAAAACAAGAGCTGTGAAAAAATTATTAATTTCTATTCTATTTAGGTTGTTAAAAGTCCTAGAAAGTTCTGAATAGTTCAGATCAATTACATGTAATTTTTAATCTGCTTGACTTTATGATTACATATATGAATTTTTATTCTTTCAGGGGACACCATGAGGCAGTCTACCGCTTTAGCAAGTCACAATTCTGACTATGACTTCAGGAATATATCACAGGACAAACTTCGGAAAGACCTCGGAACAGAACTTTCTATGGATAGTTCCCATATGTGCAGTTTTGCTTGGTTCCATGGAAGCATACCCCGACAAAAGGCAGAAAATTTACTTCAAAAACAGGGTGATTTTTTAATCCGAGAAAGTAGCTCAAACCCTGGAGATTATGTATTAACTTGTAAATGGCAGGGAAATAAGCTCCACTTTATGGTGAATAAACAAGTTTATAATATTAATACACCATATATGTCAGTGCAATATCAGTTTGAGGATGATTTATTTGATTCAGTTCCTGCCTTGATAAATTTCTATGTTGCAAATAGGAAAATTGTGTCTTCATCATCTGGTGCTATAATTGCTCAACCTCTGAACAGATCAGTACCATTGAGTTACTATGATAAAAACTATGCATCTCTATGCAGTGAAGAAGCTGGAGGAAATTATTCCACTCTAAAAAATAGTCCTAAAAGTAGTCCCCATAGAACCCCTACTAGTACTCCCCCTATGAACAGAAAGATACCTACACGGTCAGGAAGTCAGCCATTATTAAGTATTGATGAGGATTTTCAAAATCGTCATATGTCTCGTCATGGTAGCTTGCCTATGATTAGTCAACAGCAAACTTCTTCTGAAAATTCTAATTCCAACAACCAATCAAAATCATTGACACATCATTATAGATCTGGAAGTGAACCCAATCTTAACCCAGGAACAATGGGGATGAATATTGTCAATAAACCTGTATCAAACTTGAAAACCACAAACTGTGGATCTGATAGTGAACTTACAAAGCCAGCTCCTCCCAAACCTAGTCGAGTACCATCTATTAAAATTACAGCAACCAGGCCTAGAGTACAAGTCAGGAATAAGGCTCTGTATGATATTGAATATGAGCAGCAGGATTATACACAATATGAAAGTGTGAAAACTTTCCCAAAAGATTTAACACCATCTAAGGCAGCACCATTATCCAAAACTTACAAACAACCATCAGAGCCCCCTGGTGAGAGTGATTATGATAACAACTTTGGGGCAAAAATTGAATATGAAGACGAAACAGATGATTATGATGTTCCAAAATCACCAAATAAAATCATAATAACTGAAAGCAAAATGTCTGTAAAAGATCTGGAGAGACAAGATAGTGGGATGGATTATGATGAGATTGACGAAGAGGATATTTATGATACCCCTCCTTCCCCTAAGTTTACTATTCCTAGTCTGAAGTCACCATCCAAGCTCCAACTATCAACATTCAAGAGTACATTGTTACCACCTAACAATAAACCTCTAGAGGGACCCGTTCTACTAAAGGTAATGAACCATACATGTATCTAATTTTTTCACAACTTGTGTCATATTGTTATGATCTCTAACCTTTTTATGGAGGATGTCCAGTGTTCAGAGTCAGCAACAAATGGTATGTGGTGGCATTTTGCATGTCAGTGCCTTGTTTTATTATTGTAATTTAATTACAATGATGAATTTAGATGGGGTAGAAATACCTGATGACCTCCTTAAATTCAGAATTTCTTAAGTATATACTGCTCTTAGCTATAATGTTTCCCATAGATTTAGAATTAGGAATTCCCTGAATTAGAATATTTAATCAAAGAGACCCTTCAATATTTCTTTAATGCAGCCACCCTTGAATATCTTATTTTTTACTATATAATGAGAATATTCATATTAATACATTATAGACCAGGCAAATGCTGTTGAGTAAATCTCCTGGAGTTCTGTCTGGCCATATAACATACCAGGATTCCCATCTGCTAAGCCTGTGGGGTGAGGATCTAGGCGTGGGGGTCAGATCAGGACTTGAACTATTCACTCTACCCCAAGGCAGCCAACTTCGAGTTGACATAATTGAAAGGTAAAGTGAATTATTACTGACTGTAAAATAAGTGAATTTCTTTTATATGTCGAGTGTTCTCCCAAGAATTTGGGATGAATTATATTGATGATTTTTCTCATTTCTAAGTAGATGGGTCCAATTCATGTCAATGTATAATGAATTATGTATTTTATCAGGCACAATTGTCTAAAGCTGTTTGTGACCGTGACTATATTAATGGCCAGCAATCTTGAGGAGCGAGTACAGATATTGAAGCAGTGGATAGATGTCGCCACCCATCTTCACTCAGCAGATGGCAATTTGTTTGCATTTACTTCTGTTCTGGAAGCTCTTGGTTTAATTCCAGTAAGTCATTTGAGTCATAAATGACCAATGTTTTGTTATATATAATATTTTGTTTTGAAAATAAATTGTTTAAATTTAAACTTTAAGCTTTGTGTACAATTTCACTTAATTTGCACCTGTGGACTGCTTTTTTCAATTACACATGTTTTTCGATGTGTATATTGGACAGCAGACACCAGGGAAATGCCAGTTTTGCAAGTCAACTTGGTGCTGATAAGCCTTATAGGAGTAAGAGGATCAACCATATTGTAGAACATAAGGGAAATTTATCCTGTATTGATCTGTTATTTCAGATCACAAGACTCAGGAGGACGTGGCAGAAATTCCAAGAGCGTCATCCAAAATCATCTGCAACATTTCAAAATCACCTTCTCCCAGCTTATGTCTCTAACAATCAGGGGGTAAGCTCTACAGCCCTTCAGAACACAAGCGTTCCTCATATATTGCCCCTAGCGCAACTCCTGGAGCGTATCCTTGACCCCAAACTACCATTGTTACCATGGGAACAGCAAAATGAAAATTATGGGATAGATGTCCTCCTCGCCCATCTCAATGGTGCTAGATCAATCACTGAACATTGTGGACTCTACAAAATTAAATCAGCACTAGTTATTAACAGTCTGGAGAATGATCAGTCCCTACTTGATATCTTTGATGCAAATTTTCACCTGAAGTTTTTATGGGGCTCTAAAGGTGCAAGCGTAAATGCCAAAGATAGATATGCAAAGTTTGATCAGCTTTTAACTGTACTATCTGAGAGAGCTGAACAAAGCCAGGCTCAAGGGCCTAACCAGGAAACGGCATTTTAGGAAAGCTTTTGCACCATTCATAGGTTTCAGTGACATTTTCACTCAGGAAGAGGTTGGGTTTTTGACAAAAGAAAAATTAGGCTGTCAAATTCCAAACTCAGCAAGTCAATTTCTGAACCCAATAATAGCTGGTTAAATATAGGCATATTTTTGACTACTGAGAAAATGCATTTCAACTCCTGGTATGAAGTACTTTGTCAAAATCCCACTGGACCCTCACTCTGGGACAATACTGTGTATCAAATTCCTGGCCCCTGCCTGGGGGAGGTCTCATGCAAACCTTTAAATGGTGCATTACAAAAATGATTCTTTTTTTTCTCAAAAATATTTGAGAGATGATTTGTAAAATTCAATTGTATTGTTTGATATTGCTGTAAGACAGTGTATAAGAGTAACATTCTGAAGGCAACTGAAGTCAGGACTTTTGTAGAATATTTTGTAGAAGCAGGCACCTCGGTGATGTTCCCTGTAATGACCAACCACAGTAAAACCTGTCTTAGTGAACACCTCTCCAGTGAACACCTGTGTTTATTGAACACTCCTAAGACACATTTTATGTTGACTCCTGTATAAATTCCCTCTCTGTAGTGAACACCTACCTACAGTGAACACTTTTTGTGACTCCATTGGTGTTCACTATATACAGGTTTTAATAGAAAAGTCAATGGTACAGCTACCCAGCATAATTTTACATGTAACATGATGAAACCCTTATGTTGCACACAACTGACACTTAAGGAACATGTTAATATATGGAAATAGGAAAATTATCGATATTTCTTATTGGTCTCTGTATTTCTCACTCAGTCAACTTAAGATAAGAATGATATTGCCAAATGTGATGTTCACCTACTGAATGCCAAATATATGTTTGCATAGTCTTGGATGCAGTTTTTTGCAATTTCCGTTGTGTGTTAAAAAATAATTTTATGAACCAAATATTTAGCTGACAAGTACTTGTTGGTTTCACATAACGTAAAATGTTCTGTTCTTAGATTATGAATTTATAAAAATAATGTGTGCTTCTTTGCCTGTTTTTGTACAAATAATTTGTAAACAAAAGCATTAGAAGATTTGCCCTGTTACCTAGAATTATTTTATAATTTTGAATTATAATTTTCCAAGTTATTGTGATTATTAAATCTGTCTGAATATGTATCTCATTTACAAATTAGAATAAGTAGTTTTTCAATGTATGTACACGTTCATGTAAAGTAAAGTCATAATTAAAGTAATTTGTTATATTTATAACTCTTTACTGCAATTCTAAGTTTGCTCAATTGTCATCAGGTTACAATGTTAAAGTGGCAATAAAGGATAGAAAAGTGGGAAAAGTAACTTTTAAATAATTGTCACACTTTTTGAGTTGATAACATTCCATGTCCTATTAATTCTCAAATAATATCTGACTTCATTTCATGATATATTGAATTCATAAGGTTATATTGTTCTATGGAACTGGGTGTCCTTGTTTTCAGTTTGAATAAATTTGAACATTTCCACATCTTTGAAATTCTTCTATAATTTCTTTATTTTGTCATCTCAATTCCTTTTCAGATTATATAATTAGAATTGTAAGGGGGAATAGGCATACTTAATGAAGATTCCCTTCCAACATTTTGTATTCTCTATTCTTTACTGCCACTTTAAGTTAAATTTAGTTCTCAAGAATCATTTTTGGTTTTCGAGGCTCTGTATTTATTTACGATTTTGTGTTCAGAAATAAATTTCTGCGGATTATATGTTTAGTCATAATCTATTAGACCAATCCAGTAAATCATGCCATCTATTGGTTATGATGTCATTATTACAATTTCAGTGCAGAAATAAGATTAAAATATTGCTAATTTTCAAAAACTTCTTTCAATTTTGTTTACAAACATTGCTGCCTGTAAAGTATGACATCATAAATCTAGCCAATATACCCTAGTTTCTTTGGTTCACAAATAGCGGTCAGGATTTATTGGAAAGGTCTATTCTTGGGGGTCAGGTCAAACTTTATATGTCTTTCAAAAACAATTTATAAACTCCCCTCAAAATAAAACCACAAAGCCTGATTTTTGTAAATCCTGCAAACGAAAAAACAACATTACATCATATTTCAACTCTGGGTGACCTTATATGACCCCACAATATGACTTAATCTTTAACACTTACCCCAAAATGTATTTAGCTCACTTTTGACTCAATACTTTGTCCCCCTCAAATTGGAACCACAATTTTTGATTTTCATAAGCCTATGAAAAACATAGATGAAATAGCAACACAAAAGTGCTACTCCCTTCCCCAAAAGGAGTTTATTTTGACCTAATCCCTTCATATTTGCTTCTAGATGGTGCTAATTAGCCATATAACATTTATGTATACAATAATTACATATTTAATCATTTCATATTTATAAATATATTGAGTAGAGAGACAGGTGTGCAGTCATTTAAACTTCTGAAATTTGTTAAAAATTTGATGTCTGAGATACAGTTGGAAGTTTGGATGAAATTGAATCACTATGAAAAAATCAATTTATGTTAATGAAAACATGATGAAATCATGTGGTATTGCTTGGTGTGCAAAGTCAGTTCACCCCAGGGTATATCAAATCTAATTTTTGGAGATAAAATTGAATCAATGTCAAGTCATTATTGATAAGTTATCCTATTAATACAGAAACAAAATGAAAACTTGATGAAAGTGTTCAAAAACATTTCAAAATTTCAAAAAAGAAAAAATGTTTGTTATGGAAACCACTTCTGGGGAATATATCAAGCAGATCCTACTAGGATTACACATTTCTACAAAGAGGCCAAAACTCTCTGTATAACATCTCACCCATTTAAACAGTCTCCCCCTTTTTGAAATGACTGCACATTTCTTGCCTCATACTCTCAAAAGATAATAATATATATTAAAACAATTTTATTATGTGTGCATATTATATATCAAGTACTTGTATTTACAGTCTATAAATGTGGTGTTGTATACTTTGGATTGATTTATATATTTTGAGTGTATTCAAGAACACACATGTAGTACATCATGTATTTGTATATGCATTAAAATAAAATGATTCATGAGAGATAATGTATTATTATTTCTTTATTATAATATAAAATATATAAATTTACAAAAAAACTTAAACCTTAATTATTCATTGTTGAATATGAGTCAGTTTAATATAGGGCAGGGACTTGTCAGTCTAGGGCAGGGACTTGCCAATAGCATCTCTCAGTATTTTCATAGAGATTTTTAAAAACACCATTAAAATATAATGGACTTAAAGACTGTCAATAGATGCCAATAGATGGCGAAGAATTCAGTAGGTTTATTTGTATACTTTAACATGTATAAATACTTCAAAAATTTCCATAATAAAGTTCAATTGAAAATAGCAAAACCTTATGATGTTGGATCTTTCATCTCTCCAAGTCCTGGCTCCCATTGATGTAATATTTCAAATATTGTATTGAATTTATTATCGGCCTTCTTCATGTTCAAGGGACTGTGATTTAAATGATTTTAAATGATAATGATCTGTAACTTGCACCATCATTAGAATTTGATAACCATATTTATACACAAATTAATTGCCCTTTAAAAATAAAAAATAAAAAGGTGAGAACATATTAATAATTCAGTTTCGAAACTGTCACACTGTCAAGTCAGTGAGCAATATTTTTTAATCTGATAATTTCAGAAAAGAAGGTCTTCATCAAAGTCTCTAAAAGGAATTGACAAAACTTCACTTTTAAAAATTGTAACAGTTTATTTTTCACTATAAATTTACTTGACCCAGGTACATTGATTTAATGTGTCACCTGGGCTATGACAAATTAAAATAAGATTTTTCTTTACAATACAATTGTCATACATGACAATCAAAAATTATTATCCATTCCAAACATGTATGACTTCATTGTAAATTGGCATTGGGTACTTTCTACTCAAAGGTATGATATTGTTCACTGCTGGGTCTCATTCTGTCAGTTTTAGAATAATAAAGGCTGTTCAATCAGTATGGGTCATTTCCTGACATATCGCAAGACCCACAACATATTATAATTCCAGTAGTTTCGCATATCAAACAAGCTTTATGTACAGCATCAGTGTCCAAATTGGGCAATGTATTGGACCATATTATCACATAAACATTGTATCAACCTAGCCTCAACTCCTTTTCAATCCAAGATAATGAAAGAGGCCTTTGATATCCTAACATTGATATTACAACCTAAAGGGGAAAAATCAATGGTCGGAACAAAACGAAAGTGGCCCTTTAATTCATTCTGATAAGTCTATTGCACTCTAATGGTTCATTCCGTACATGTTTGTATTCTTCATGTTCCAGTAGGTCACTGCTCTGATGATCCTTCCGCAACTGCAACTGGAAAGAAAACATCCTTCATTTCACTTTTAATGAATTTTGATGGAAAGACTCTAAATTTAGAAAGTCAGATAGATGGCAATAATGTTGTATTTCAGAAACTTCATACCCCTAAAAATATGGTTGAAAATGAAATAAGTACAAATGCTGAAAATATAGTTTTGAAAATTGACTTAGTAATGCTACAGAAAAGGTCCTTGATTAGAACTTTGTGAAATCATACCTAACCTGTTGGTTTACTATGTGGTGTTAGGCTGTCTATCTTGTTGTAAAGCTCTAAGATGTGTGCCTCTAGTCTCTGTTGTACTTTGTGTTGGGAATCACAACGGGCCTCCAGAGTCTAAAATTTGAATAATAATCTATTACAAATTCAACAAACTCAGTTTGAGCACTGCATGCACAGAGAGGGGAAAGAACAGCTGGGCCCTAAACAACTATAGGATGTCTCACATGAAAATGTAAAATTAAAGAAATATTTGAATAAAAACAGAAAATGCTGAAGATTATTTGTAAATGTATATTCATAGATGCCATATTGAAAAGGTCAGAATTGGTTAAAAAGGCTCTTCATTCAAAGATATTCTTCCTATATGCAACTAACATGGCAAATATGCCTTTCTTTCTCAACTCCATCGTGGTCTCACCTTGGGAGGATTATATTGCAATGAGGAACAAGGGCAGATCAAAATATGAAGATATAGCTCAGAGCTCACCTGTGATTTTGCACTATGAAGACTCTTGACATTTTCCAGTAGTTTCTTTTGTTCTGTAATGATCATCTCTTTCTGTTTGACCACATCTTCTACATGTACCAAATGGGTCTTACATGCCTCTAACTCCACATTCTTCTGTTCAACACTCAGTTTGGCAGCTGGAAAAGAATATGTGATATTTGCTTTAGCATGGCCTTTCAATCTAGTTGAAAGCCCAAGGTTTTAGGTATGATGGAACTTTTCATCTTGGAAGCAGTGACAGAAATATCTAACCTGCTCTCAATGGTACTACACTCCAACTACGATACTAAACTGATTTTGGTATGAAGCTAAATCTGGATAAAATTGTTCATCACAATTAATCTTCACATGTTATTTTAAAAGTGTCATTCTTACTGTTTTAAAGTCACTATATTTCTGTTCCTTCTATTGTAAACTAGCACATATGATAGTTTCCAATACCTGCAAGTTCCCTGTATGTAGACTGACTGATCCATTCTTGTTGATTTGACGGATCAACTCTATTCTTAAGTTCACTCAGCTGTGACTGGTACTTCTGTGTAAGTTCTCCCATAAGCACCAATTCTTTAGTCAGCTTATTCACCTGCAAAAATAACTTTACAAATCAAGTATTCTCCAAAGGATTTTTTTTAAACCTGCGAGCCATTACAAGAACCTTTAAGTGAATACTAATGTCACTGTTCTCTTAATATGACATCATGATGTCAATGATTAAAACAATTCATTAATTCAGGAAAGCTTTTTGTAATGATTTCTTGACTAAAGATCTAATTATCAAAAATCTTTAAGCAGGATTTTACTTGTAATCATGCCTATTGCAAGTGAACCATTGGGAGGAGTTAAATAAAGGGAACTTGATAAAGTAGGTCAAATTACTGATAATAAATGGATATGAGACAATGGAATAATTGAATGTGATCAATAGAAATAACTGAGCATAATTGTTCTATTTCAATATTAAATGGCTAACACGTACCTGTTCTTGAAGATGCTTGTTAGCTGAGACCTTCTCTTTCATAATTGACACTTCTTGTTGCGAGGTGAAATGCTGAGACTTAACATTGCACATTTCCTAAAATATGAATTAAATATGGTGAACATTTAGTTCAGTTCAGTTTATTAAATGTTCAAAGCGTATGAACATTTCAGGTTAGTAAAAAACATGGCACAGTGCAATGGTATGGCATGGCACCGTGGCAAACACTTAACTTTGGTAAGAGGCACAAGAACAATGTTTGTAAGGGAAGACATTTTAACAGCAATCATCTACATAAATCTGCAAGGGGACACTGATGATGATTACATCATAGCGTATGTATAGCATCAAAATGGCGGATGATTACTCAAACAAAATTTCAACAAATTCTTATAAAACTAGTGTGAATCTTGACAAAATGACAGTTTCTCAGCTTCCAATCTTCCATATTTATATGATCCAATCTATTCACTAATCAGAAAGATACCCTGTGTAATCCAATGGGAAAGAACCCGGATGTAGACAAAGTTGTACCCTTCTTGAGAGCTCTTCAAACGGGAGGTAACGAAACTGAACTAAACTAAACTTTATCACATATTGGAGTATTAAAGGGTTCCGATTAGCATCCCGTATAAAAACAATATGGCGGCTCTAGGCGAATCAACTGGATCAGTCCATTTATAAGAAATAAGGGGAGTTCTGTAAAATCCAGTTTATTGAAATTGTCTTTGAGATAAAGTAATCCGTTTATAATGATTTTGAAAACGTTATCCAAAGAGTGATTGCGTTCAAAGAATACATGTACAACAGCCAATATAAATCCTTGTATTAGAAACCGGTTTGTCTTGCTTTGTTTCATTTGTAGGATATTTCATATGCCAAGCTGTGTGCTATTACGTTATGGGGAAATTTAGATGCCAATTTTTCCTTATTATACACAAATAGAAGATCCTGAAACTTCACCCATAAATGTGGAATTGATTTGTCAAAATAAAAATCACCCTTTTATAAATGTGTGACGATCTATAATAGACTTATGCTATATAACAGTTAGAGGTGTTGACACAACGACCTCGAACCTGTGAACCCTTGAGTATTATTCCGGGATCGGGCCTTTTATACTAAACGGTGAGCAACACCAGAAACGAGCGTTCGATTTGCTAAACGATATGCGTCACCCTTTAAGGGTTTGACTTAAAATAGTATCATAGAGCCTTTTGCACAAGGGGTGCTATAACCTGTACAAAAGGGTTTGCCATGGCATGGTGCCATGTTTTGTACTTGCCCATATATTTCAGAACGGTTCTGTTTCTCTTCTAAAAGGTTCACAAAATGCCATTCAGTTGATAAACTATTAAAAATCGATTTTAAAAAATCAGCAAAAAAAACCTTGCTTTGTTTCCATTTCTATTTTCATCTGCAATAATACATGTACCTTAAAGTTGCACTTGTAAAATAGAATTCTAACTCTAAATATATTACTTTAGCGAGTATAGTTGTCAAAAATGTAATTGCACTTCAGGTTGGCCCCCTTCCTCCCCAAAACCAAAAAATGTTTTAAAACTTTACTGGCTTTTTAAAGTTGCATCCTTTACATATTGATACGCTTACACAATGAGATATAATTCTATCACCGCTCCTAAAATATACTGTACATGTCAATTTTTGTGTGTCGTTGATGTATGAACCTTGTCTCTTACCTTTTGTAGACTAGCCAAGTCTTGTTTTTGGCGCTGACACGTATTCTCCAGTTCTGTACTTGACAGTTTCACATCCTCATACTTCTGTATGTATTCCCTGCAGTAACAATTGAGTAGTATAGTTTCTAAACAGTTGAATAAAGCTGATATAATAGATGTCACCCTTGTCATTCTTCATTTTGCTTGGGCCAGACTGCAATTGACTTTCATGTATATAAACTTGCAAGTCACCTAATTTAATGGTTTATGAAAATGTGTAGGTTGAATCTGTCTGAGACTCAAATGGCATATTATTGGATGACCTATCAATGCACCTGTCATGAAATTTTTGGTTGTCAAACGAATAAACCAAAATTTTAAAGAACTTAGCATTGCATCAATGGAGATTTGGCCCAAGTTTTTTAAAAACGCCATGGAAAATGATTAAATGACATAACTGTATAAAATATAAAATTAGTATTGTGGAAAACTTTTCACTGAATTCAAAAATGCTATCAAAAAGAAAGAAAAGTTAGTTGTTTGAGGTTACTAGTAAAAGTGCAAATCTCTAAAAATTTTATGGAAAACAAGAATTATCAAGATTTCAAAGCTACATGTATATGGAAACTCCTCTATTGGTTAAAATATGATACAGTCAGGTGCTTCAAAGTATTTGTGCAGTTGCTGGAAAATGCATAAAATAAAGTAAGGAATTAATCGTCACTACAAATAAGCACAAAATATAGAAGGCTCTAGATTGAATTCAAAAAATATATTTTATTTCACCAAATAAAATTACTGCTTTAACTGAATTGTAAAAAGCCATTATTTAGCAAAAGAAAATAATTTCTCTCTAAAACCTATAATTGGAATGTGACATTTCTCGAAAAATTTAAATTACATGTCAGTTTATTCAGATCAGAGATGACTGTAACCAGCTTGTCACTAATCACTGCCACAAATTTGTTTTTGTTTGCATTCATGTTTCCAAATTAATAAACTATATTTTACCATTTAATCAGTTATTAAAACAAAAGTTTATATATAAGCTATCACTGCCACAAATGTTAATGTTGTATGCATACACACTTCCAAATTAATTAACTGCATTTTCGCCTTTAATCAGTTATTAAAACAAAAGTTTGCTTCATATAATAACTTTTAGTTTACAAGATTGTGCCAGTCTATATAAGCTATTACTGCCACAAATGTTGATTGTGTTTGCACTCCATATTAATTAACTGCATTTTCGCCTTAAATCAGTCGTAACAAAAGTTTGGACAAAGGATCTTAGTTTGTTTGTTTGTTTGCTTGTTTGTTTGTTTGTTTGGAAATAACATTATTAGATTCTAAAAATCCTAAAATTTTCAGGTACATGTACATAGAACTTGCAGGGGGTGAGGCAAGGTATCATTTCTCAGAATGGCCAACATGCTGCCTGATTAATAGACTACATGTACATGCAAGTAGAAATAATCTTGATTTACCTCATTAGAATTCAAATTTGAGTCAAAGATATTATATTTAAAATCTACATGTAAAATTACATCAAGAAATGTGGCTTTAAAAAGTGTTTATCAACTTTTAAAAAATCTTCTTTGATTTGACTTCTAGATTGGGGAAATTCCCCATAGACCCCATGTTATAAAATCACATGAAGTGATAGATAAGCTTTTTGAAAGAGAGCTTCATCTTTGTCTATGGTACTTTGTACTTATGTCCAGGGTAAAGACAAAAATGTAATGTCACATATACAAAAATTGCCACCATTTTAAAGATGAATATGGTACTCAAATTTATGATTAAGCATAAATATTTCTCTATTATTCCACTGCTATTGCAGACTCTTGGTAAAAACAATTTCACACGAAATATTTTGTAATAATATTATATTATAGAACTTGTGAACATATATACATCACACATAATTGTAAAAATTGCACATTATTGAAATATCAATGCACAACACCCATATTTGGGTTTTAAGTATAGAAAGGTTTCTGACAAAGAAAGATTGACCATACACAATTATGAATTTCAACCTTCCTTGACAATAAACTGCTTATTAGTCCGATGAAATTTCCTGGAATTCCTTGTAATGTGCAACTAACTGTTCAATCAAATTACAGCCAAATGTCATTTTGTTTGGTCAATGTTTAACATTTACATTTGTATGTTCTCCATTGTAGGGGATACTCAATATTTATTATTTGTAATGGATACTCAATGTTTATTATTTGTAATGGATACTCAATGTTTATTATTTGTAAAGGATACTCAATGTTCATTATTTGTAAAGGATACTCAATGTTCATTTTTTGTAAAGGATACTCAATGTTTATTACTTGTAGAGGATACTCAATGTTCATTATTTATAAAGGATACTCAATGTTTATTATTTGTAAAGGATACTCAATGTTTATTATTTGTAAAGGATACTCAATGTTTATTATTTGTTCTTCAGTGTAAAGAACTGTAAGGCAGAAGCTTTACCACAGGCAACAAGAAAGTCTTGATCTTTCACGTCTAGTCCAACTGTAACATCTGTTGTTTTTACATAGTCTGTGTTTATTCCAATGGTCCTTGTCACATCAGTATCCTTCATATATAGCTGTTTTAGGTTAATGTCCAGCATTTCTTGAAAGGCAGAAAGGAATCCATTTATTGTGTCAGTGCCATCCTGGACTGACATGTTCTGCATGTAGCACATGAAATCAACACTTTTCTTCTCCATGTATGTTATGAATTCATCAAATGTTATCTCTCCGTCTCCATTAATGTCCATTTCTTTGAATATAGTGCTCAGAGGAGTGTCACCAAAGAGAGCCTTGGCATGATGTTCCTTGAAGTCACTGTGCTCTATAGCCTGTTGTAGCTCATGGATGTCAATTGTGTTACTGCCATCCACATCGCTGCTTCGTAGGACCATCCAGAAATTCTTAGCAGCTTCAAAGATTTTGGTTCTTTCTTGCTCTCTTGCTTTGCGCTCATCCATGAATTTGCCATTCTTTCTAGCAAGTTCAGTATTTGGTCGTGCAATAGGGGCAGATCTTTCTTCAAAAGCTTGCATCATAAATTCAGATTCATCACCAGAATACAAGAGAAGTCCTAGTGTTTTATCATTGTGTCCCCCGAATCTGTGTTCTTTGTTTGTGCTACTCATGTCTTCAAGCTTCCTGAAGAAACTGTCCTTGGGATCCATTGATAAGTACCAACCATCGAAGCAATGTATTGGGTAGTTGCAGAGTACTCCACCATCTATATAACAGTGATTAAGGCCATGTTTTTTCACCACCGTTGGTTGAACGAAACCAGGTAATCCAATAGACATTCTCACGGCGAGAGCTATTGATACATTAGGTGTTGTTTTTGGATGGAAATATTCCACGCTCATTGTGGTCAAATTCGTCACAATAATGCACAACTCTTTTCCCGTCTTTTGATACAGCTCTAAGAAAGTAAGTTTGCGCTTTCCCTGTTTCTCTTCAATGTAAAGTTCAAACTGCTTCTCAACTTTTTTGCATGGATGCCAACCTTGATGTTTGACTATGTTCCATGGTAAGGAGAGTTTCCCGAATGTGGCATCTTGGAAAAACTCAATGCTTTTCATGTCCCGTCTAACGATGACCTCCAACTCTGCAGCCGAGAACCCAACAGCTAAGAGAGTTGCCAACATAGCACCGGCACTCGCTCCTGCAAATCTCTTCAAGTTCTTAGTAATACCCAGATCCTCTAGAACAGTCATTGTACCACAGTAGGCCAGACCTTTAGTACCCCCTCCTTCCAAGATAAGATTCTCAATGTCATAGTTTTTCTGTTTAAGTTCCTGTATCTTCTCTGCATATTCACGTTCTATTTGAGGAATATCATTGGAGGAACATTGCTCGACACCTTTCTTTGATACCATATTAGGCACCAGATTGCTGAAGATATTGTCGTCTTGTTTAGAGTTTGATCCACCCATGTTGAACTTCTGTTGTTGCACTACCAACTAATACTGAGCTGAATGTGATTCACCTGAGAACCACACTATATTATATATTAGCTCAATCCACCTTATTACACCACTCATTGGTTAAGATATCATTGTGGCAGAAAATAGGATATTAGCACACTGCAATTTCTAAAAATGTCCTCCAATCTTGTTTGCAAACATTACTAACTGTTTTGACAGCATAAATATAGCCAATTAAACCATTGTTTTTTTGGGGTGACAAAAGGAGTTTGTTGGAAAGGTCAAATACTCTAGTAAATACTACTTCCAAAACTGAAATGTTGATATACAATGCAACACTTTGCAAAAACAATCATGCATCATGTTTAACATAATCAAAAATTTAAATCCTTCGAAGGTTAGAGTCTCATTTTTAGGATATTTTAGGAGATCTGCATTTTTAACCATTAAAGACTAACATTTTCTTCTATTTGATGCCATTTTTGAATTTTATGTGTAATTTCTAATTTCCAATCAAAAAAGCTTTGATTTGGAGTTATTTGATTCAAATTCTGAAAATTTTCAAGTTTCTGAAAAATGTTGGGCTAAATTCCCATTGACAACATGTTGAAAAACCTTTAAAAGTTCATTTACTCTTATAAGGATCACAATTTTAATATTCAGTCACAATCCACATGTCAATAGGTTTATATAATTACATTCAAATCATGTTTTAAGTTGATCCAAATGGAATTACTTGTTAGATCAAGAAATTAAGTGACTCTTGCAATAAATCTCAATGTATTCTGGTCCTACCAATACCCATGATGCCATCTATTTGTCCATTTATTAAAAATGGTCAATTGATCATTACTTCATCATAAAGATAGAAATCATATTGTATTATATAATCAATGATGCAACAAAGTTCTGACTGTAAATTGTAGTTCCTCATAACCTTGGTTTAACTCTGGTTTAACTAACATAACAATAGAATTCAGGTTGGTTAAACCAAAGTTGAGGACAAAGAGACCATGTATTAGATTGTAAAAAATAAATTACTTGAGTTGCTGTTGGGTTGTTATTAGTTTAGCCTCATGAACATTGTCAGCCTGTCTCTGGGATTCTTGCTGTAGTTTTAAAGATACTTGGAGGTTATGTAGCTCATTTTCTTGTAGTCTCAGTTGATCTAACTGTAAAACAATTAAACCTAGCATATGAAATGGATCTTACTGATTACTAAATACTTTGTAAGGTGAACAAGGTATAAATACGCAAAATGTTACCACCTGCCATTTGTTATGAATGGCATTTGTTACAAATGCCGAACACCAACTGCTGTCCACAAAAAGTTGTAGATGATAACAATATTTTGGTAGTGACATAATAGTTATTAGATTTCAGACATGTGTTTCATGGTGCTATTAGCCAATCAGAATATTACAACTGTTCCTTGAAATGAGACGAGCAATGTCTTAAACTAATATTCACTCGTAAAGGTATGAACCAGCTAAACCACAATGATGGTTTATTTTTAATTTTGTAAAAAAATTCGAACAAGTCCTCAATTAAGCATGCCTTACTAATTGTGAAACATTTTTAGGGGAAGGTTCAACTCATTTTTCTGAAGCAACTCCTTATACTTAACATACTTGCATTTTTCCTGATTAGGCCACATAGATGTTTCTAAAACATTCTGTTAAAATCTTTCCTAGTAATACCATTAATAGTTTTGTTTTTTTAAATCTAGTCATATCATTTATTATATCATTCTTACCAGTGCAGAATTTTGTTCCTCTAGAGCACAAGAGTGCTTGATCTTGCCGAGTAGACGTCTATTCCTCTGTGCATGTAGCTCCCTCTTGTGTCTTTCATACATCAACTGGTTGTGTAGGAGAAGTATCTGTCCACGCAGTATGTTCACCTCATCCACTGGAGGTACACCTAAACCATGATGCATTGCAATATAAAATGCAAGTAAAAAGTTCATTTTGAAACTGAAATGAGACATATTGTTTCTTTAACTAATTGGCCATTTTTAATCTAATAAACCATTACAAATGTAATATGGTATATTTTTATGTGTTTTCAGGTATAGAGTATAGTAGATTATTCTTCCCAGTGGCCTTATACTAACGCTTGTGGTGGTGGTTTGTTTTACAGAATATAGCAGCTATACCTTGAGATACGCAACAAATTGCACGATTTATAGCATGTGATCAGTGTTGCTTGTAGATGTAGTTTTGTAACATTAACTGATTTGCCTAGTGTAATAATCAAAGTGTGTATTAACAGTGTCCAGTATTCACACGTGAACTCAACTCCCGAATGAGTATTGGTGATTTATAGAAAGATATCGGTACAGAGTATCCCCATATACATTGACTATTAGGGTGTTATAAGATTAATTGATTGGCACTAGTAGTTAAAGTGCTTCAGTAGAATTCATAGTGTATATTAACAGTGTTTAGTATTCACACGGGAACTGGAGACCAGAATGAGTATCAGTGATTCATAGGAAGATATCGATACAGAGTAATCCCATATTCATTGACTATTATGGTGTTATAACGTTAATTGATTGGCACGAGTAGTTATAGTGCTTCAGCAGTAGTCATAGTGTGTATTAACAGTGTTCAGTATTTACACGTGAACTGGAGACTAGAATGAGTATCAGTGATTATCGATACAGAGTATTCCCATATACATTGACTATTATGGTGTTATAGCATTAATAGATTGGCGTTAGAATAATAGTATGTCACAATTTGCTGTGATCAACAATTACAATAAGAACCAGACAGAATATGAACCAGAGCGACCATATAGGAGCCTAAGATACCAGCATACCAGCACAATATCATTATAGAGTGTAACATTATACCGTGATCATTATGATGGCATATCATTCAATGATTGACATATTGGAGTTATTATAGTGTGGTACAATAAACCTTGATCACTTGCACAGAAGGCCAGATTGAGTAGTCGATTATATGTTATATAGAAGGATTGTGCTGAGTTTAGTAGTTGAGCAAAACAAAGCCTTCATTGTACCGGAGCGACGATAAGAGTTACCGTTACCAGCAAACATTAGAATATCGCTAATATTATTACAGGGTGTCCCAGTATACATTGACTGATTATTATCATTAAATCAGCAACATTCTGTCTGATATATGCACATTTTTATGGGTCATTATGTCCAAATGAGATATTATAACTGAAAACTTACCACTAAGTAGTATCTATGCATTCATAGCATAGGGAAGTTGTTAGAACAATATTTTAAGTATGTAACCGTTATAGTTTAATGTTAGTTCATGAGTTATTAGAATATAGTTAAGTGTTAGGACTTGTAGAACGAAGAGTTAGTGAGTTAGCTAATTCAGATGAAAACACAGTGTTTCCACAGCCAGTAGGTAGTATAGGGATTCGCTGTGAGCCAGGACAAAGAGTTAGTGAGTTAGTTAATTCAGATGAAGACACTGTGTTTCCACAGCCGGCAGGTAGTAAACGCAGCTGTACTAAGCACAAATAAATTCTTGGGTAAGTGTAGGTCAAGGAAGGGAGGAATGTAATATGGTATATTTTTATGTGTTTTCAGGTATAGAGTATAGTAGATTATTCTTCCCAGTGGCCTTATACTAACGCTTGTGGTGGTGGTTTGTTTTACAGAATATAGCAGCTATACCTTGAGATACGCAACAAATTGCACGATTTATAGCATGTGATCAGTGTTGCTTGTAGATGTAGTTTTGTAACATTAACTGATTTGCCTAGTGTAATAATCAAAGTGTGTATTAACAGTGTCCAGTATTCACACATGAACTCAACTCCCGAATGAGTATTGGTGATTTATAGAAAGATATCGGTACAGAGTATCCCCATATACATTGACTATTAGGGTGTTATAAGATTAATTGATTGGCACTAGTAGTTAAAGTGCTTCAGTAGAATTCATAGTGTATATTAACAGTGTTTAGTATTCACACGGGAACTGGAGACCAGAATGAGTATCAGTGATTCATAGGAAGATATCGATACAGAGTAATCCCATATTCATTGACTATTATGGTGTTATAACGTTAATTGATTGGCACGAGTAGTTATAGTGCTTCAGCAGTAGTCATAGTGTGTATTAACAGTGTTCAGTATTTACACGTGAACTGGAGACTAGAATGAGTATCAGTGATTATCGATACAGAGTATTCCCATATACATTGACTATTATGGTGTTATAGCATTAATAGATTGGCGTTAGAATAATAGTATGTCACAATTTGCTGTGATCAACAATTACAATAAGAACCAGACAGAATATGAACCAGAGCGACCATATAGGAGCCTAAGATACCAGCATACCAGCACAATATCATTATAGAGTGTAACATTATACCGTGATCATTATGATGGCATATCATTCAATGATTGACATATTGGAGTTATTATAGTGTGGTACAATAAACCTTGATCACTTGCACAGAAGGCCAGATTGAGTAGTCGATTATATGTTATATAGAAGGATTGTGCTGAGTTTAGTAGTTGAGCAAAACAAAGCCTTCATTGTACCGGAGCGACGATAAGAGTTACCGTTACCAGCAAACATTAGAATATCGCTAATATTATTACAGGGTGTCCCAGTATACATTGACTGATTATTATCATTAAATCAGCAACATTCTGTCTGATATATGCACATTTTTATGGGTCATTATGTCCAAATGAGATATTATAACTGAAAACTTACCACTAAGTAGTATCTATGCATTCATAGCATAGGGAAGTTGTTAGAACAATATTTTAAGTATGTAACCGTTATAGTTTAATGTTAGTTCATGAGTTATTAGAATATAGTTAAGTGTTAGGACTTGTAGAACGAAGAGTTAGTGAGTTAGCTAATTCAGATGAAAACACAGTGTTTCCACAGCCAGTAGGTAGTATAGGGATTCGCTGTGAGCCAGGACAAAGAGTTAGTGAGTTAGTTAATTCAGATGAAGACACTGTGTTTCCACAGCCAGTAGGTAGTATAGGCTATCACTTTGAGTTGTTAGGATCACTCAGTTGATTTAGTGGTACCACAAGGTTAAGTAAGGATCTCAGATAGTTTGGGTAACCAGCGTCACAGACAAGTAGAAATAGTGAGTAACCATTACTTGTCGTTATTTGGTTTCATAAATAACCGCTTTGAGAGTTCGTGGTATAACCACCCTTTTACTGTACATGTAATATATATGTATATGTTACTTTAACATTGTTTCAAAATATATTTCCATATTAAAACTACTTATATTTGTGAGTAATTACACAAGGTTTCATGGATATCTTTAATTTGCATTTATTCAAGTGAGAGTAGAATCGCAAATTCAGGATGAGCAAATTTAAATTCATATACCTGACACAATTTGAGGCACATGCAAATTTGCAAAAATCGCAAAAACTTGAGTAAACAAGTGCACAAATCCATGATTTTTCCTCCTGCAACTTCAATTTATTTACAATAATCAGGGACTTAATTTGTGAGGACCTATTTGTAACAATCAATGGACTAACTTACCTCCAAAATGGGTCCAATTGATGGCTGTTTGGCTGGTGAGGGGTATTTTACTAAGCTCCTTGGCATGAAGCTCACCCCCCAGCTGTATGTGTCTGTCTAGCAGCTCTGACGGGGAGAATGTTGAGAACAATGGGGGTGAATTATCAGCTACAATGAAACATAATCAAAACATTAATATAAGCAGTAAATGTGTCCAAACAACCAGCCAAAAAGTGTTTTGATTGGCAGGTGTTTACATTTAGAGGTTTTTAACATGTAAGACTATGGCAGATTAAACAAAGCATTAGCATGCAAAATGTCACCACCTGTCATTTATTACAGATATCAACTGCCGAACATCAAACTCATACTGCCAAACACCACCTGCCGAATGCTGTCCACAAAAAATTGGAGACTATATATGTAATTACTTGTGGCGGTGACATAAAAATGGGACCAAAATTGACCACATTGAGAGGTGTTCGGATATACAGGTTTTACTGTACAATTTAGGAGTTGATTGCTGTTCGGCTAGTTACAGGTACTGTATTTTACTAAGCTTTATCTCATATAGAAAACCCTTGCTAGGTGTATACCATTCTGATACTCATAGCATCTTTCTGTTTCACCTGAAACAGGGCTGAGAAGATTTTAGATGTCATGGTTTATCTGATGGGTGTATACCTTGTGTTCCAGAGTTTGTAGACACTTCACTGTGGCACTTGGAGCACTGTGTGATGTTACTAGAACATGTAGGTAGTACCATAGAGAATAGATGACCATATGAGAACAACTGCTCAACATCAACATCAGTCTGACCCAGAGCACTAACCATAGTTTGGGTTGAAACACTCTCCTGAAATGTACATATGTGTCTTTCATATATTTTCACAATTGTATTTAAGTTTTGCTTGATGCTGTAAATATTGCATATGGAAACATAAGTTATGAAAATATGAGAGAGCCAATCACACAAGAACATATACTCTAGTAATGGCTGCTAGAGTGCTTGTATTGCCCTTGTGGTAATAAGCACTTGAAGATGCTACTTTGACTTCTACCAAATTAGTCTTGCTTCAAGACCCTGCCCCATCCCATATTTTCTTTCATCAGGGTCTTGTAATGACAGATGTCCTCTAACTGATATTAATTATTCATGATAGATGTGACTGTAATACAAGACTGTAATGTGTTGGAGAAGTAGATAAGGGGGGGGGGGGTTTACAGTCTTAAAGCAAGACTATACCAAAATATGGGATATCCAATGTTATGTAAAATCAACTTACAGTTTCAATGTTATTTGTAGAAAAAGCTTTGTGTGATGTTGTAGGGCTCGATCTCCCAGAGCTTTTGTCTGTCAATTCTGGACATGACCTAATAAACAAATAAAAATAAAAACAACGTTGGAACTTTTTGGGCAAATTAAAACAAGACACATTGTTAACAATCACATTTTGAAGAGCAAATTGACCGCCATGTATTTCACCCAGCATGCCCAAAACCTAATCAGATATTAGAACTAGTCTATTCTTGCATCTGTATAAATTTCGAGCTGAATGGAAAAGCAGTTTCCTGTAATTTTATGTGGCGCCTGTCTGCCCAGTTGCACGCAAATCTTTATGAGATGATGAGTATTAACAACCAAACGTGCAAGCCCCCTTGATTGATTAAGACTCTAGGCAAGTTCACTTCTTATTAAAAGAATCCCAAGTTTCGAGATTACACTTAGATTTGTGGGTAAAATATTTTTATGAATTTTCATACCTCGACCTTTCTCCTGGGCTAAGGCCGCCACCAGAGGATATCCCTTCAGCAGTGACGGTCATACTATGGAAGCGGATACGGTTCACCTTCTTCATAAACAAAGCTACAGACTCTGTGGTATATGGCAAATCAGATAGGGACTCTGTGTCAGATTCAGCATCATCAAGTGTCTCTTTGTTAATGCCACAAACTTCTTCATCACTTTCTTCTGTAATGATATCATATCAGATATTTGGTTTGGTTGTGCCTAATTCTTTCATATAATCATATTACAATATTATAAAGGTACATGTAGATATGCATTTCCATGAAAGGCTCATTATTTTGAATTGGTTTATCAAATGCTGAAATTGCTTCAGAATATACACTGGGCATGCATGAAATGTACATTAAAACATGTGTATCCAAACACCTCTCAATGTGAACACTTTTTGGTCCCACTTTTATAGCTTAGATACAGCTTAGCATTGTTTAAGAACTTGGAATGTGAACACTGCCAATCTGAACACTTTCAGCTGATCCAAGGGGCGTTAAGATGAGACAGGTTGTACTTGTTACAACAACTCCAAGGACAGACAGACGGATGGACTGATGGACGGACATATTTGAAAGAACTAAATTACCTTCCACTGGTTCAGGCAGATGCTCTATAACCTTTGAGAGAGATGACACTGATACTGTTGCTTCTACTTTTCTAGATGACCCTTCAACTCCATCTGGCCTTGAACTCTGACCTTTGACCTCACGGCTTTTTATCTGGGCCTTATCTGTTGTTTTTGCATCTTGGGCATGTTTAACTTCTTGGGCATGCTTAGGGCTGGGTTTGGCATCTTCTGAACCATCAAAGTCGATCTTTCTAGCCTTGGTTATCACTGTCCTGTTACAAAAAAATACATACTACATACTACAATGTAATAGTAATATTTATACATATGTACAGGGTGGTCAAAAAAACGGAAACCCTGCATTTTCCTCATATCTTTGTCATTTCAGGAAATTACTCCCTGATATTTCACACATTTGCAAATCATTCAATTTCCTACTACCCTACCATATTTCATGACCATCAGACTGATAGTCACAATTTTACAGCACTTTGAACAACATGCTTCAGGTTTTGTCATCATCGCGCTGGAGGCAAACCTGCACAGCTGTTAATGATCCAAATGCATTCCTCATCAGGTATGGCCTAAATGATACAGATGATCTCAGTTTTGAGGTCTGCGATTGTCCTGAGGTCATTCTTATACACTCTATCTCTGCCACATCGCCATAGGTTAGGACATTTTGGACGACATGTGCAGGTTGGTCTACAGCCAATAGTGGCCACCGGGAATGTTCTTTTAAGTGCTGTAACACTGTGACTATCAATCTGATGGTCATGAAATAAGGTAGGCAGGTAGGAAATTGATTGATGTACAAATGTGCAAAGTTATTTCTTAAAATGACAAAGATATTAGGAAAATGGTGTTAGGGTTTCCAGTTTTTTTGACCACCCTGTATTACATACCTAGCGAACAATTTGTATGGAAGTCAATGGAGCTGAAGGTTGAATATATATCCCTCTATACCGTCCAAACTTTAACCATGGCAATCTTATGACATCATGTTTCATTTCTTCCAAATTTCCCTTGCACACAGACGTGGTGTGATGTCATTGATATAACGAACCCTTGGAAATAAAGGTATGTAATACAACAATTATGTCCATATGATTGAATATATGCCTTTGGTCTATCGTAATTGATGACAGACCTCAGGCTTATATTCAATGATAGGGACATAACTGCTAAATATACAGCTAATATTCAAATCAATATAGCCCATGCTGGTTGGCTTACTCCACAGGTAAAAAAGGGGTTGATTATTGTAGGAGCTGATTTTATTCAAGGATCATACATTAAGCATGGTGGACATGACTGAATAGAATGACTAAGAGGAGGAGGTGTTATTTTGTAGTGACCTATAATGGGTTTGGATCAAGAATATTTACTGGTTCTTGTCAGTCTGTGGGCCTAATGCCTACTTAACCAAACTGTAATGTTGAGATGCATGATAGGAGCAACAACCCAATGGTGTTATAATGATTAACTTTGACAGTTTAAATTCACATTACAGCATACCTTTTACATGTATATAATATTACTTTACCTTTGTGCATGAAGTGGAGGTTCTGATGTAAAATCCTTCTTCATAGGGGAAGGTGGAACTATTTCACCACTTGTGTCATGAGCTGTTCCAATATGAATCATACCAGGGGATTTTGTTGCAAGTTTCCTGGTGGGCGTTAGCTCATAGAGGGCCCCACTTGCTCTACTTGGTTCTCGACTAGGAGGAGGGGCACGCATTCCACTTGTGTTCACCTGAATCATAAAATGGACAAGCTCTAGTATAGGATGATTGGGCTCTATACTAGAAAAACAGCAACTCCAAGGAGTAGAAATTCCCACTGAACAAAACACATTTTGATAATTTAGTGGCCAGCTTGAAATTTTTCTTAAACAGAGCTCCTTTGTCCCTTTAGGTAGCAGGATAGTGCAATTGGTACCTTAGTGGGTGTGTCTTTATTTTCCTCTGTCAGGACATGGACTGGTGTTTCTCTTGGTGTTCCCTTGGGTGTCTCATAAGGAGTGCTGGTGCTATGTAAACCTACATGAAGTAAAAAAAATTATCAATTAATGCTAGATCAGTAGCATCTAATGTGTACATGTATTCTAGCATAAAATTTCAGTCTAAGCTGAACCAAGTCAGAAAATTGGTTATATTCATGAAATTAAGACAGAAAAAAACTTTCAAAAATCAAGGTGTGAAAAGAATTTCAGCACATGACTCGATGCATTGTAGATGATTTAATGCACTCATGTCTCCTATTCTAGCCTTTGAATTCGGGCTATTAACCTCATTCAAAGTCTTGATACAAGACATTCATTGAAATCATCTGCAATTCATATGTAAAATGATAAAAAATTAGACTATATTCTGTTTATAATTTGAGATCCTTTATGGGTTGTGTTCAGGTGAAACCCTGCTTTGCTAAGCAATATATATGTAAAATGATAATAAAAATTAGACTATATTCTGTTTATAATTTGAGATCCTTAATGGGTTGTGTTCAGGTGAAACCCTGCTTTTCTAAGCAATATATGTAAAATGATAAAAAATTAGCATATACAAGTTCTGTATATAATTTGAGATCCTTAATGGGTTGGGGTCAGGTGAACCCTTCTTTGCTAAGCAATACATGTAAAATGATAAAAAAAAATTAGCATATATTCTGTACATAATTTGAGATCCTTAATGGGTTGTGTTCGGGTGAAACCCTGCTTTGCTAAGCAATATATGTAAAATGATAAAAAAAATTAGCATATATTCTGTACATAATTTGAGATCCTTAATGGGTTGTATTAAGGTTAAACCCTGCTTTGCTAAGCAATATATATGTAAAATGATAAAAATCAGACTATATTCTGTATATAATTTGAGATCCTTAATGGGTTGTGTTCAGGTGAAACCCTGCTTTGCTAAGCAATACATGTAAAATGTTAAAAAATTAGCATATATTCTGTATATAATTTGAGATCCTTGATGGGTTGTGTTCAGGTGAAACCCTGCTTTGCTAAGTAATATATGTAAAATGCTATAACAAGTTTGGCATATATTCTGTATATAATTTGAGATCCTTAATGGGTGGTGTTCAGGTGAAACCCTGCTTTGCTAGGTAATATATGTAAAATGATAAAACAAATTACCATGTATCACATACTTGTGTAGGTTTGGGGTAGCTAGGTGATAAACACATTTATTTATTACATGGTAGGTTGGTGCATGTATTTTAAGAGTAATGTACATACCGCTTCTGTTAAGCTGTGAGCTCATAGATGCAGCAAGATCAGTGACACTGGTTGATGGGGTAAGGTTATCAGGTGGTGTAGATAGCCCACAAACAACTGAAGGACTCCACAAAGACTCTGGTGATGTCATCCATGGCCCTAGCGAAGATAGTTCCAAACTTTGGCGTAACTGCATTGACGTCTGACTCACGTCAGCATCTATAGATGTATATTCATATAATAAATGATCTTTCATGTAATAGGCGACAGCTTTTATGTGATCAGTTTCATTCATATATACTTCAATTTCTTAATTTATGTATACATGCACAGATTTCATTTAGTCATTCATGCAGTAAAGATAGGACATGAACATATTTTTCAAAAACATAGATAACTATTTTTGGTTCCAAACTCATTTAAGAATGTTTCACATGAAGAATATTTCATTTTATAACAGAATGACTGTCAACAATATGATAATATTATACAGCCCATTAGGTTTTACATTATGGAATGTCCATTTTCATACAAATTATCTTCATGGATCTGAAAATGAATCACCTTTTTCAGCAACACTGCTATCATAGAACCTTTGCCTCTGGTCTCTTGTGGTATCTAATATTGATTTGCTCTGCTTAATAATTGGACAGTTTGAGTTCTCAACAATAAGGCCCTCCGCACTATCCAAGCACACCTTGCCACATTCAATCACAATGTCATGAAGTTCCTTGGTTTTCCACCTGGAATGTAACAGGAAAATAAGACCCCCTATCTGTATGAGATCTCCCATTTTTACAGATCAAATGTAATACTCAAAAAATGTTTGTGTTTTCAAAAAAAGATGTCACTAGTTCATGGATACCCTGTATTCTGTGTATAGAGTTGATATCTAATATATTTGTCATTTGGTTATTTCAAATGTCGTTCAGCTAAACTTATTTTTTATTCAATCTCATCTCATATTTGAATAGAGCTGACAATTTTCTTCATAAATTCTGTAATTTACACAGTTTTTCTCTTGTGTTTAATTTCCCAAGATTTTTATTATATCAGTTATTTCTTGACTATATCTACCTTTCAGTAGAGACCTCAGTGTCCTTAGTTGCTAAGACAAGGAGTGGATGAAGCCTGGCACGTTCTAACATTGGCTGAAAGCAAAAACCTTATATAACTTAATATTCATAGCAATAACCATAAAATTTAAAAAAAACTTATTTAAAGTAGCATAGTTGAAGCCAAATCAGATGCAGAGCATTTCCCTTATCACGTAAATGTTGGGATCTAATTTGTCCGATCCATGGAATAAATACATAATATATGTAGTCTGACGAGATGTTTGAAAAATACTATTAAATTCATTTTCCTGACTACCCAATGAAACCATGTTGTACAAAGGTAACAATGTTTAATGTCAAATTTCATCTGCTTCAAAATCTATGTCAGTCAAATTCACAGTAAAACCTGTGCTGTCAAATACCTCTGGGACTGGCCAAAAGACAGATGAACAGGTATTCACAATTCAAAGTTTTGTGAGTCAATGGGAGATAAAAAATTGGGAGCAAAGAAGTGAGAAGTGGTCAGATCAGAGAGGTGTTTGGATATACAAGTTTCACTAAATATAATGTGTTCATAATCTTTATCATTCTCATGATGGCACACGTGACTCTACCTTAATGTGCTGGTTAAAAAGTGGAAGACTCTCTTTTTTGGAGTAATGTGTTCGCAAGTAGTTGAGAAAATTACAGGGGTACATGCCATACAGTCGATGAAACATAGCGTACACTCCAACTTGTAGATGTAGGAGATAGACATCAGGAACATTTCCTGTAATAAGATGATTCCAAAGAATATAGCAAACCTGTTCTTGGTGAACAACTTTGTGATAAGCCTAAGTATATCATCAACCAACAAGAAGTCTTCATTCAGGCTCTTTAACAATAAGGAGTTGAGAAATGAAATGAGATTAATTATTATGTTAAAAGAATCTGGAACATTTTTTTTTTACTTTATTTTTTTTTATTTTTTTTTTATTCTATTTGTGCATACCCTTACACTAACTTTTGAAAAATTCTAATTCTAAATTCACACAAGTACAGGTATATTATCAACTGATGACAATTGTTTCATAAAAAGGTAAGTATAAGAAGTCTTACACTTGGGTTGGTTTAATTTGTTTGAAGTTTTGTATATGTTCTAAACAATTTCCTGGTACAATAAATTGGATTTTCAAAAAATACATGCATTACATGTCTTACTAAATAATAATGAAAGGGATTTATATTTTACATTAGGAAAATAAGTAATTGTAACTTAAATGTTTGTTTTACCTGGTTTACTTATGTTAAATGCCACTAGTCTGGTGAATGCACCAAAGATGTGCTCCAAATATGGTGCAACTTTAACAGGTATAGATGGCAGCAGTGCAGTAATGATCAGTGCACCACACATCAATACAGGAACCTCATTGTCATTCTGGAAAAAAATTGTGTAAAACCTGGAAAAAATTGATGGGGTTGGATGGAGAATCAATGCATCATTTTCATATTAAGTTTAACAAACTTAAATCTAAATAAGGGATAATGGTACGCCAATGTCATCCCAATGATCATAATGCTTAAAATGAAGAGGAACAGACTACTAACATTCACTTTTTGAGCCATCCTCTGACATATCTAAAGGTAAAATGCAACAATATTTCACAATTCAATCAGTTTAAAACTGTTTTTTATAAAAAATATTTTGAAATATAAAGAAAAGAAAAGATAAACTTCAGTTTTACAATGTATGTTGTAATTTGATAAAGATATGTTGTATCTAATTAAATAAAAAATGTACCTTTAGGCACTTGATGATTGTTCCAAAGAGAGGTTGATTGACTATCTTGTGTGTCCAAACGACATGCTTATATACCACAAAACTCAACAACATAAGAGCATTCAGTCTGTATTCTCCTTTCATGTACTCATTCAGCTTTTCAAACAAAGCCTGAAAACAAAACAAAAATGTAAAAGCTGAACATCGAACTGATTTTATTATCATTGTACTGTATAAACTGGAATAATATCTATTAATTCTATAAAGAATATGATATAGGCCTATTTGCAAAGTTTTTATGGGTGGACAAGCATTGTCAGCCATGTTCTAATGCTAGTTCTCTGCTTCATTGCTATTGAAACCAAAACCACCTTGAGCCTTCTGGTACCCCAGACCATGGGCTATAAGACTATGGTCAATCATTCTCTATACACAAATGTCTCATGGGACATACCATAGCACCTGCGCTGTATTACATAGTGTGTGAAAATACACTTGGATATATTTACCTTATCATTGGGCTCCCTTATTGCAACTATGATGTCTTTGGCTCTCTCAGACCTTGACAACATGTAGTAGTCAATTAGCCCATTCAGCAGCCATGGCTCCTTACCTAAAATAATAAGAGTAGAACAGTGGGTTATTTGCAGCAAAAAAGACCCCATACTTCTAAAATTCTGTACTGTCAATAGATAGCTCTCATGTCATGTCTACTTTTAGATTAGACCCTTTTACTCAAAACTTTGGAAGAATAATATAAATATGAGTTACTGATTAAATTCAGAGTATTGTAGCTCTTAAGAAGTTGACTGTGACCATTCTATTTGTGCTTTTTTGACCAATCCAATTTTGTAGTGTTTTCTATTTTGATATAAAAGAATGATAATGACTTTGTGTTCAACTGCTGGAGGAGTATGTGGGACAATGCTATGTTTTCAATAAGTCTCTCTAAAATGTACCCAAGAGTATATCAACGGCACAGATAAACAATCAAAACCATATCAGACATTTTTGCATAGTCATGTAGCCAAAGGATAGAACTTTTCTCGCCAATACACAGTTTTTAGTTCAGTCTTGCTTTTTGATGCTTTAAACCCTTTACTCTCCTCTACAATCGCTCATAAATGGTAAGTCATCCACTCTTTATTTTACTTTTGTAAAATTTATTATTCCACAGTTAGCATGATATCATAGGATAACATGTCAAAATAAATACAGTATTTTTGTAATCAGTGGTAAGATATAATATTTTGACAAATTTTCACTTAACCATAGCATACAGTTTTAAGCCATGACGTATGCTATTTTAGCATTCAAGTGTTTTCACTTAGTTAATTGTCAGTGTAAAATAATCAATCCTCTTATTGCAAATTAGATTTTATTTCAATAAATATGCCAATGCCATATTGTATTGTACATGCCATTTTTATATGCCAGTTTCATATTGTCATATTGTACCCTATTATTATTGCCCTGGCAATGCCATTTTATACTGCACTGTATGATGTTATGTTATGTTATGTTATGTTATTGTATTGTATTGTTTTTTAGCCTCTTTGGTTCTGTTCTAATGCGAATAAATTGACGACACCCACCACATCTCCTAGTCGTTGTTTAAAGTTGGTGCCACAAGAACCAGGAAACAAAGCAATTCATTGGTGAAAGAGCAAACATAAAAATGGCATTTGACAAGATAGGGGTATGTATACCATATCAAACAATATCTTCACTACCTAATACTCTGAATCAAGTTATCCTTTTGCAAACTAAACAAGGCATTACCATGACAAAATATCACCACCTGCAAATGGTTACAAAAGTGTGACATTTGTTACAGATGAAGTCAAACCTGAAATGTAACGTTTTTTGTGTTATATTACAAAACTCTTGGAGGCACATGGCGTAAATATTGTGAATAACTGGTAGAAATTTGAAAAGATTTGATGAAAATTTAAAAAAGTTAGCAATAGTTTAATATTTTGTCTCACAAACTCACTAATGTGACTTTTTCGATTAAATTACGTCATATCTATGACGTCAATTTATGGTAAAAAGTCAAACTCACGATTTTGGGAGTTGTTCTATTCAATCCTTTCCTTTTACCATATTTACGAAACTCTTTGAATTTTCTCCATTTGGTCAAAGTATACATAGATCGTACCTCTGACTGTTTGGTATGATAATAATGAAAAATAAAAAAGATATGATTGGTAAAAGACAATGCTCCATTTTTCTTTACAGAGGGAAGATGGTTTTGAAAAAAATCGACTGAACAGTGCTTTTTATATTCACCCAGGTGCTTCACTGAAATGCTTTACTTAAAGCATTGATTAAATATTTAGACATTTAAGACTTTCAATCAAATTGAATTAAAAACTAATACAAAATTAATTGGAATAAATTAGCCAATT